GCAGGGCTCAATCCCAGGACCCTGGGACCACGACCTGAGCTGAAGGCAGAGGCTTTAACCTACTGAGCTACCTAGGTGCCCCTGTTCCATGATTTTTAAAAATTCTTTTTAATTTCCTGGTTGACCCATTCATTCTTTAGTAGGATGCTCTTTAGCCTCCAGGTAATTTGAGTTCTTTCCAACTTTCCTCTTGTGATTGAGTTCTAGTTTCAGAGCATTGTGGTCTGAAAATATGCAGGGAATGATCCCAGTCTTTTGGTATCAGTTAAGACCTGATTTGTGACCCAGGATGTAATCCATTCTGGAGATAGTTCCATGTGCAGTAGAGAAGAATGTGTATTCTGTTGTTTTGGGATGGAATGTTCTGAAGATATCTGTGATGTCCATCTGGTCCAGTGTGTCATTTAAGGCCTTTATTTCCTTGTTGACCTTTTGCTTAGATGATCTGTCCATTTCAGTGAGGGGGGGGGTGTTAAAGTCCCCTACTGTTATTGTATTACTGTTGATGTGTTTCTTTGATTTTGTTATTAGTTGGTTTATATAATTGTCTGCTCCCATGTTAGGGGCATGGATATTTAAAATTTTAGGTTCTTGTTGGACAGACCCTTTAAGTATGATATGGTGTCCTTCCTCATCTCTTATCATAGTCTTTGGCTTAAAATCTAACTAGTCTGATATAAGGATTGCCAGCCCAGCTTTCTTTTGATGTCCATAACATGGTAAATTATTTTCCACCCCCTCACTTTAAATCTGGAGGTGTCTTTGGGTCTATCCATTCTGATACCCTTTGTCTTTTGATTGGGGCATTTAGCCCATTTACATTTAGGGTAACTATTGAAAGATATGAATTTGGTGCCATTGTATTGCCTGTAAGGTGACTATTACTGTTCTTTCTGGTTTGTTACTTTTAGGCTCTCTCTTTGCTTAGAGGAACCCTTTCAATATTTCCTGTAGGGATGGTTTGGTGTTTGCAAATTCTTTTAGTTTTTGTTTGTCCTGGAAGCTCTTTATCTCTCCTTCTATTTTCAATGACAGCCTAGCTGGGTATAGTATTCTTGGTTACATGTTTTTTTAATTTAGTGCTCTGAATATATTATGCCAGTCCTTTCTGGCCTGCCAGTTCTCTGTCGACAGGTCTGCTGCCAGTCTAATATTTCTACCATTGTATGTTACAGACTTCTTTTCCCAAGCTGCCTTCAGGATTTTCTCTTTGTTACTAGGACTTGTAAGTTTTACTACTAGATTACAGGATGTGGACCTATTCTTATTGATTTTGAGTGGGGTTCTCTGTGTCTCCTGGATATTGATGTTTGTTTCCTTTGCCATATTAGGGAAATTCTCTACTATAATTTGCTTCAATATACCTTCTTCCCCCTCTCTCTTTCTTCTTCTTCTGGGACCCCAATTATTCTAATATTGTCTCATATATGGTATTACTTATCTCTGAATATTCCCCTTGTGGTCCAGTAGTAGTTTGTCTCTCTTTTGCTCAGCTTCTTTGTTCTCAGTCATTTGGCTTTCTGTATCACTAATTCTCTATTCTGCCTCATTTATCCTAGCAGTAAGAGCCTCCATTTCTTATTGTACCTCATTAATAGCTTTTTAAAAATTTCAGTTTTGTTAGATTTTAGTTCTTTTATTTCTCCAGAAAGGGATTTTGTTTTTCCAGAAAGGGATTCTCTAATATCCTCCATGCTTTTTTCAAGCCTAGATAGCACCTTGATTATCATCATTCTGAACTGTAGTTCTGACATATTACTATTGTCCCTATTGATTAGATCCTTAGCTATTGGTATTGCCTCTTGTTTTTTTTTTTTGAGGTGAGTTTTTCTGCCTTGTCATTTTATGCAGATAAGAATAGATGAATGAAAGAACAAAATACTAAAAGGGTGGCAAAGACCCCAGAAAAATATATGCTAACCAAATCATAAGAGACCAGGTACTGGGGGAAGAAGAAAAGAGGAAAAAAATATATATATTATAATGTTGAATAGAATAGAGCTACACACTTGATTTTGGGTGTATTCAGGTCTCTTGGAAGGAAATACCTCCCAAAATTTTAAAGAAAGAAAAACTTATATGTATACAAAAATAAGGATAAACATGATGAAGGGATGGAATATGACTGTAAAGATGAAAATTAAAAAAGATTCTAAAAAAGGAATTGATAAGATTAGAAGTTGGTTGAAAAAGAAAGCAAGGAGGAAAGATTGTGATCAGGCTGGAGAGTAGAACAAAGCATGCACTAGATTTAGGGTATATTTTGATCTATAGAAGAAATTGTATCCCAAAATTTTAAAGAAAAAAACCCCCCTATATTATACAAAAAACAAGATTAAATACAATGAAAGGATGAAGTATGACTATAGTAATGAAAATTTAAAAAAGATTTTTAAAATGGTATTGATAAGATAAAATAGTTAAGAAACATTAAAATAAGAAACAGTAAAAATTAAAAAAAAATAGAATATGAGAAAAATAAAATTAAAAATATTCAACTTTGAAAGACTGAAGGATCATGGGAAAAAAGCCATGAATTCTGTGTTGCTTTCCCCTAGCTCTGGAGTTCTGCTATTCTCATTGATTGGTGAACTTGGTCTTGGCTGTATGTTCTTGCTCATTTTCTGGGGGAGGGGCCTGTGGCAGTGATTCTCAAATGTCTTTGCACAGGGGTACAATTGCACCACCTGTGCCAGGGGCCAGGCTAAATAATCTGCTTGGTTTCACTCTTGGGAGCTTTTGTTCCCTGAATGTTTTCCCTATAGATTTGGAGGACGGGAATGAAAATGGTGGCCTCCCAATTTCTGGCCCATAGGAGCTAAGAGCTCAAGTGCCCACTCCTCAGTGCACTTTCAGAGAATAGGAGTTGATCCCTCCTATCTTTCTGGTCTCCGACCATACTCCGTGCTCACCTGGCCTGTGATTGAGCATTTCTATCTCTGGTGCATGGCCCTGTTTAGAGTCTCCAAACCCAGCAGGTTCCTGCAAGGTGGTCCTGCACTTCTCCTTTTGCAGGAGGAAAGTGAGTCTTCCCAGATCTGCCACTTGTGGTGTCCCTGCTTGAAGAGCAGTGGCTCGACTATGCCTCAGACAATGGTTTAAGGTAACCCTGAGCTGAGAGCCCCCACCCCCACCCCACTCCATCTCTGCAGCCAGCTTCCACACTCTGATACCTGGAAGCACTCCACACTCAGACACATCTGGTCTTTTCATGACCCTGCAGGTGCTGAGACCATAATGTCCCCATGAGGGCTCCCCAACCTCACTCCCTGACGCCTGCTTAGCCTCTGGAGCAAGGCCCCTCAGTGGAGCAGACTTCTAAAAGTTTCAATTTTGTGCTCCACTGCTCTGCTTGCCAGGAGCTAGCCCCTCTTCCCACGGTCTCTCTTCCCATCACTTGGATTCACTTCTCTGCATGTCCTACCTTCCAGAAAGTGGCCAATTTCCTGTTCCTAGAATTTCTGCTCTTCTTCTCTTTGATCTCCTGTTGAGTTTGTAGGTGTTCAGAATGGTTTGTTAACTATCTGGCTGAACTCCTGGGACCTGATGATATTTTAGTTTCCTACTCCTCTGCCATCTTGCTTCCTCCACATCTGCCTTAGTTTTTCTGCATTTATTTGTACTTAAAAAAAATGGTTTATTTTAGAGACAGATAGAGTGTATGAGTGGGAGGGGCAGAGTGAGAGATTCCCAAGTGGGTTCTGTGCTGAGCATGGAGCCCTATGTGGGGCTTGATCCCATGACCCTAAAATCATGACCCAAGCCAGAACCAATTGTTGGATGCCCAAACAATGGTGCCACCCAGGTCCCCCATGCATTGATTTTTACTCTTTGTTTCCACTTAATTATGGAATAATTTGTCTCATTTGGAGATTAGTGTTCATCAAACATGGAATTTGGGGGGTTAAAACTGGAAGAAGAGCTCATACAAGGGCACAAGCAGAGGTGTTGAGCTAGAGTTCTGAGTGTGCCATGTTTAGTTTGGGTCACACAGTTTTCAAAGATGTGAATTGTCTGGGACATTTTATAACAAAAGGGAGTTTATGTAATAGTATGAAATTTTAGTTTTATTGAAAAAAATATATAGAAGGTTGATTGTTCAGAAGGACTAAGTTTTTAGTTGCTTGAATTTCCACCTCAGAAAAGGGCCCTGGAGCAATGAGCACTGCTCACCCTGGCAGGAAGTAGGTTCATGCTTGCCACAGTCCCTACCGTTCCCTAAGATGGCCCTGGGCAAGCATCGTTATTATTTGCCTGGCTTCTGTAAGCAGCTGTCTTGTGACTCTTGACTCAACTGAATACTTTGTAATTCCTTTTCCTTCCAGCTGCCAACTCTTTGTCAATCCTTCTCCGAATATTGCTAAAACGGTCAACAACGGCAACAATCTCAGATATATGATTTTTTAAATCAGGAAGAAACCTTAAAGGATATAAAATTAAGGTGTTTATTATCACAAGAAAGTACCTGTTCTATTTTTGAGGCATATGGAGGGCTCTCCGAATGTCCCCAACTGTCAAAAGTTGTACTGGTGGGGCTCACATATGTGATATTCTGGTGACATTTCCCAGTGTTCAGTTTTGGCAGAATGGGGATGGTGATGTAATTCTGTGTGATAGGAGGGGATGGTGCGGATGATGAGGAGCTAGATAGGGAGGGACTCTGCTCGGACTCTGGCCAGTTTTCGGGACTCTGGGTGAGCTCGCTTCTGGGCTCTTTGGTGAGCTGGTAAATAAGGAGGTTGGCGTAGATGATCGATACTGTCCCTTTGGATTAATAAGGTTATAGGAGGGAAAGAGCGCCACTGTTTGGCATTGTCTGAGATGACTTTGCCGTTGACCTTGCCATTGAGCGTCCATGTCCCAGGTGCTGCTCTTTACTTTAGTTGAAGTTGTTGTGGATTCGCTTATGGGAATGCCAAAAAGGAGTCCTCTCTGAAAAGACTCTGACCTCCCATCTCAATATTTACCTTCTAATTAGGTCTTTCTTTCTTCTTTTGCAGTTATATTCATATAGATCCCGGAAAACCTGCAAAGATGAGAAGGTTGAAGGAAGTAAGTGTTCGCTGCTAATTACCAAAGTTGGGATAAATTGGGTGATCTGGGAAAACTTTGAATGTCAGCACTGGATGATATCGCTTTTACTAAATCAGCGGTTTGTAGGCAATGCCTATAGGAGCATGTTTCTCTTGAAGCCCGAACCCGCTTTGCAAGCTTGTCATACTTGTCAAAGCACTTAAGTAACTAACATGATGGAAGTCAGTAAAAATACTCTAAGACCATGCCTAGGAAGATCGTCATCTTCGAGACACACTGTGCAATTATTTGTTGAAATATTTCACTTGTCTTTTGTTTTTGAGGATTTGAACAGATGGGTGTCAAGAAAAGCTATTTTAAGTTATATAACATTGAAGCTAATTATAATGCTAAATTTAAAGATTTGCCCCAAGTTCTTAACATTTTTGTGCTTGACAGACATTTGAAAGGTCTAGAGGGTGGAGCCTTCCATCACTATGTTCACATCACCTGACTCTTAGCAAAAAAAAAAAGAAAAAAAAAAGAAAAAATCCATTTAATAAGTATAAAAGAAATCCACCTTTTAAAATAAGCAACAGAAACCACTAGGTTTTAAATAACATATCCTGTAGATATTTAGGTGGTAACATGATTTTTACTTTAAAAAAAAAAACAACGGACATGTTGTTTTGTTGGGTATTTCAAAGGTGAGATGTTTGAGAGTATTTACTCCTTTAAGTGGTAGTTTTGGTATTCTTTCATTTTCTCTGCCATGAGCTGGCATGTAATTATTCTTAACACCTGGTCACCTGCTTCCCTCTTTCCAGATGGGCAGGGAGTGGGGATGAGCAACAATTCTGAAAAGTTGCGCTCAAGTTTCAGTCTATGTGCGTGCTTTTTTTGGGTGACTTAAAAGATAAGATATGATTATCATTAGTCATTAGATTTTTAAGACAAGCAGGAAAGTTGCAGGTTATATTGTCAAACCCCCTCGTTTTCTAGTCAAGGAGGTTTTGACCAGAGAGGTTGAGTGACGTGCCAGATGTGAAGTCAGGATGCTAGAGTGGGGACTGGCATGCACTCACAGTCACGGGAGTATAGTCATCCCTGAGAGTTTTGTAATTTTTCTTTTTATTTTTTTCAGGTTTTAAAAACATTTTTATTTACTTTTTAAATTTCTTTTCAATGTTCCAGAATTCCTTGTTTATGCACCACACCCAGCGCTCCATGCAATACGTGCCCTCCATAATATCCACCACCAGGCTCACCCAACTTCCTACCCCCTTCCCTCCAAAACCCTCAGTTAGTTCCTCAGAGTCCACAGTCTCTCATGGTTCGTCTCCCCTCCAATTTCCCCCAACTCCCTTCTCCTCTCCATTTCCCCATGTCCTCCATGTTATTCCTTATGTTCCACAAATAAGCGAAACCATATGATAATTGACTCTTCTCTGCTTGACTTATTTCACTCAGCATAATCTCTTCTAGTCCTGTCCATGTTGATACAGAAGTTGGGTATTCATCCTTTCTGATGGAGGCATAATACTCCATAGTGTATATGGACCACATCTTCCTTATCCATTCATCCATTGAAGGGCATCTTGGTTGTTTCCACTGTTTGGTGACTGTGGCCATTGCTGCTATGAACATTGGGGTACAGATGGCCCTTCTTTTCACTACATCTGTATCTTTGGGGTAAATACCCAGTAGTACAATTGCAGGGTCATAGGGAATCTCTATTTTTAATTTCTTAAGGAATCTCCACACTGTTTTCCAAAGTGGCTGCACCAACTTGCATTCCCACCAACAGTGTAAGAGGGTTCCCCTTTCTCTACATCCTCTCCAACACATGTTGTTTACTGTTTTGTTAATTTTGGCCATTCTAACTGGTGTAAGGTATTTCAATGTGGTTTTGATTTGAATCTCCCTGAAGGCTAATGATGAAGAACATTTTTTCATATGTCTGTTAGCCATTGTATGTCTTCATTGGATAAGTGTCTGTTCATGTCTTCTGCCCATTTTTTGACTTAAAACAGACACAGACACATAGACCAGTGGAACAGAGTAGAGAGCCCAGATATGGACCCTTAACTTTATGGTCAACTAATCTTTGACAAAGCAGGAAAAAATATACTGTGGAAAAAAGACAGTCTCTTCAATAAATGGCGCTGGGAAAATTGGACAGCTATGTGTAGAAGAATGAAATTCGACCATTCTCTCACACCATACATGAAGATAAACTTGAAATGGATAAAAGACCTCAACGTGAGGCAGGAATCCATCAGAATCCTAAAGGAGAATATAGGCAGTAACCTCTTCTACATCGGCCACAGAAATTTCTTTCAAGATATGTCTCCAAAGGCAAAGGAAACAAAAGTGAAAGTGAATTTTTGGTACTTCACCAAGATCAAAATCTTCTGCACAGCAAACAGTCAACAAAACCAAGAGGCAACCCACGGAATGGGAGAAGATATTCGCAAATGACAGTACAGACAAGGGGCTGATATCCAAGATCTATAAAGAACTTCTCAAACTCAACACACACAAAACAGATAATCACGTCAAAAAATAGACAGAAGACATGAACAGACACTTCTCCAATGAAGACACACAAATGGGTTTGTAATTTTTCTTAGAGTTTATGTTTTTTCATCTACAAAATCTGATTGTAAAGAGAGTCCTTATTGAGAAGAATGGCAGAAAGCTGTGCAGAAAAGCTCAGTGAAGAAAGTGCGCATCACCCATGGTCTTACCTCCTGGGGTTGGTGCTTTTTGACTTTGTCACGTCTGTTTCCAGGGGCTGTTCTGTGCTCTAGCCCCAAGCATGTATACATGGAAACACACATGTGTACAACACATGTGTACAGATGTGTTTATGTGTTTGCAGAAATGGGGTCCATCAGTACACACTCTTTCCCAATCTCCTTTTTATTTACTGTATGTTGTGACTGCTTTCTCATACAGTGACTGATCTTCTGCAGCATGTTTTTAATGGCTGCGAGATACTCTGTCACGTGAACCTGTCATAATTATCTGGCCCACCCTCTCAGCAGATGTTTAGGTAATTCTGCTTTTTCAGTATTTGACAGTGATGTAAGGGATTCCTTATATAGACATATTTGCTCAGAGTCGTGACTGTAAGTACAGAGGTGGAATTAGAGGCACAGTTGGAACTTCTTTAATATTTACCACCAGGAAGTTTCTGAGAAGTTGTATTGCTTCTGGGGGTGTACTAGAATGCCCATAAGTACCCTTGGCATTGAGCAGCGTAGAGGGTGTGGCTGAGTGTGCTTGGTGCCCCCTGCCTTGGGCCCTCTCCTTTTGCGGAAGAAGTCCCCGAAAATGGATTGTTACTGTTGTTTGATGTGTAAGTGCCTGTCTGGGTGGGAATATAGTGTGTTTGGGGACATGTATCTGTGCTATTGCCAACCCTGAATGAGCACAGCCAAGAGTCTTGACTGAAAGGGAAGATTTGATCCAGGAAATCTGCTCTCATGAGTGGACTGTAAGCGCAGCCTGAAATCAAGATCTGTGTCCTGCTGTCCCATACGAGGACAGAGCACCAGAGTCACAGAGCAGAGACTCGTGGGTCACGCTGGTGGGCACCTCTCTCTCTTGCTATCTGCACTGCTTACCTCACTGCCTGTCTTACCCTTCCTTCATCATCTCAGATTACTTACTACTACTTTACTGCACCATGTCCTTCCTGCTTTGTGGCTTTTGGGGCACATCCCCATAATTCTGGGTATAATAAAACAACGAGCTAAAAGATCAGTCTTTTATGGACTATTTTAGCTTTTTATCTTACTCTGGGGATGGAAATATTTTAGTAAGCATCCAATGGAAAAATGTGTCTCCTGATTTAGAAGCAGTGCAGCAGGCAGGCCCTGTGGTGGTTCCCAGAATAACCTGCTCCAGCCCCCTCCTCTCAAAGTTGCCAAAACCACGTTGGACACCTGCTGAGGAAGTCCCTGCAGCAGCTCCAATCACATTAGACACAGCCCAGCCCTGGAAGAGCAGGGAGGAGCAGAAGGTTGAAGGCGGGCAAGATAAAACACCATGCCCTCTGCCCGCTGGGCTGGGTCAGGTCTATACTGGGGGAGAGGCTCTGCTCGCGATGTAGGATTCAGATCTAAATTAGAATTGGCGGGGCTTTTTCTGTGTCTGCTGAGATGATCTTGGGGTTTTTCGCTTTTTGTTTGTTAATATTATGGATTACATTGATTTTTAATTATTGTCCTTTTTATAAATTTTTGGATTTTATTTGCTAAAATTTTGTCTGGAATTTTTGCATCTGTGTTCATGGAGGGATGCTGTTGTGCAGGTTTTTATTCTTTTAACTTATTTCTCTAGTTTTGGTATCATTTCTTCCTTAAGTGTCTGGTAGAAGTTGCCAGGGGAACCCCTTGGACCTGGAGTTGTCTTTGTGGGAAGGTCTTTAACTACACATCCAGCTATCTTCCCAGCTATAGGGCTCCTCAGGTTGTCTGTTTCTTCTTGAGTGAACTTTGCTAGTTTGTGTCTTTTAATTTGTCCATTTCATTTCAGTTGTTGAATCTATCACAAAAAAATAATTTATTTTTAATTTTTTAAAAAAGATTTATTTAGTCAAGCAAAGAAATTCAATTATCATGTGGTTCCACTTACTTATGGAACATAAGGAATAGCATGAAGGATGTTAGGAGAAGGAAGGGAAAAGTGAAGGGGAATTGGAAGGGGAGATGAACCACGAGAGACTGTGGACTCCGGGAAACAAACAGGGTTACAGAGGGGAGGGGGCTGGGGAGATGGGTGAGACTAGTGGTGGGTATTAAGGAGGGCATGTACTGCATGGAGCACTGGGTGTTATATGCAAACAATGAACCGTGAAACACTACATCAAAAACTAATGATGTACTGCATGATGTTTAACAGACTAAAAAAAAGATTTATTTACCTATTTTAGAGAAAGTAAGCTCATGGGAGCTGGGGGAGAGGCAGAGAGAGGGAGAAGGGAAACATACTCCCCGCTAAGCAGGGAGCCCGACACGGGGCTCGATCCCAGGACCGTGAGATCATGACCTGAGCCGAAACCTAGAATCAGACACTTAACAGAATGAGCCACCCAGGCTCCCCAGGAAGTCGTTTATAAAGTTCTCTGATCCGTTAACATCTGTGGAACCCAGCAATGTGACCTCCCTCATGCCTGCTGTTCCTGGGCATCTGCGTCTTTTCTCTGTTTTCCCGATGAGACTGTATAGCTTTGTCACTTTCATCAATCTTCGCAAAGAAACGACTTTTGGTTTTATTGGTTTTCTTAATTTCTTTGCTCTGTTTTCGATTTCATTGGTTCTGCTTTGAACTTTCTTCTGTGTTGTTGGGTAGGGAGTCCCACTCCTACGTGGGGTGACTCTTCTCTGCACCTTCGCTTTCGTCCCTTTCTCCTTAGGACATCCTTCTCCCTGCACTCCCCCAGGGCCCTTCCCTCCCAGGGCGCAGGCCTTCACGGATGATTTCTGCTGTTTAGTCAGAGGAGGGAGCTAACTTCGGTTCTCTGCCATGTGATACATTTGCATTTTTGTCGGAGACACTGTGGACGCACCATCTTGGCCCAACGATGGAGATTTCCACTGTGGCATGGGGCGGATGGGGGTGGCTGGTGTGGGCGCATGCTGGAGTCCACCAGGCAGCCTTGGCCCACTTGCTTCTCCCTCTCTGCCAGCTTCGCTGGGTGGACCTGCTTTTCCTAGCCTCCTCATCGAAGCTGATGTGGGAAACTCTTCCCCTCCATTGGTCGCCATGTGTCAGTATCTTCATTATTTCTTTTAACTGCATAGTTTAAACGTGCGCACAGAGTGAATCGCCTCTGACCCCAGGGATACTGGAGAAGTGTTTAAGTGTGCTGGCCTGTGCTCACCTGTTTTTGTCCTTCTTTTCTCTGCTTCTGTTTGTATTTCCCTGTCCTCCACCCCCACAGTCTCACTCTTCTTTCTTTCTTCCTTTTCCGGTGCTTTATCTGTGTGCCATCGTTCGAGCTCTGCGGGGGACGCAGGCTGTGGACACCAGGCCAGGACGAGTGGTTAGTCTCATGTGTTGCTGTTTTATTTTTACAAAAGGAGTCATTGATTTGCTACATTTCTGCAGGCAATGGCACCGGGTGGGAGGGTGTGAAGGGGGGTAATTCACCACCTGCCTGCCTTTCCCGTCCTCCCATCACTGCTCCAGAAGGGCTAACCTCTGCAGATTCCTGGGCATTTTTGGGAAAGAGTTAAGCTGTGTGCGTTTTTGTTTGTTTGTTTTGTTTTGTTCTGTTTTTGGACTCAGAGGATCACAGAATGAGAACTGAAGTGACTTTGGAAGTGGTCTAGCATGACCTTTCCCTTACTGAGCAGAATGAGAAACGGGGAGCCCACCGCACTTTCCATAGGGTTTCTGTGATGGGTGGCGATTGTGTGTTTCTTTACAAACGCATCTCTTCAGGCTCAGGCTCGGCCCCCACCGTCAGGTCGTGCAGGGCCTCTCTGTTGATTTAGCTTGCACGGCCCCGGGCTCGGGTTCCAGACCCTGAATGCCGTTCGCTCATGATGAGATTCCCGCCTTGATGTGGCTACGTGACGCGGTCTTTTCCTGGTGCTAGACTCCTTGGTGCTACCCTTTTTGGTTTGATGTTTTGCATGGAAAAGGCTGTGAGGATGTTCACTGAGGGTAGTTGGAGGAGCTCGCTGAAGTGCAGAGAGCAGAGACGTAGGAGGCCATGAGGACGACGCCACCAGCAGCAGCAGCAGCAGCTCTCAGCCAAGCTCGGACCCTCCCTGGTGCTTTGCTGGGCCCCGCAGTGCATCATCTCATCTCGTGCTGGGCACACTGAGAGCAGACCTTCTCAGACAGGGGCCACTTTCATCTGCGTTTTGGTCCACATCCGCCGCCTTCACCCACATTTCACGCACGAGGACACAGGTGCACAAGCTGTTCCAGGTCCTGTAAATGGAAGGGGACGGGGCCAGGGCCAGAATTGCAGAGGCCCCCCTCAGGCTCCATGCGCCACGCGGCATAGGTTCAAACCCCCAGTGCGCCACATCTACAACCACGTGTTTTCTGATGGCGTATGGAGGCCAGGACGCTTGGCAGCGGGGTTCGTGGTGAAGACACTAGCAGCTCTGATTGTTCACCGCGCGGGTACTTCGCCTGGTTGTTTGCAGGGTTAGGTTTGAGGGCAGCGCCTGCCACCACGGGGCATCCAGCCAACCACAGCTTCTGCCCGGGGACATACCCCTGCCATGACCTTGAGTGTTCTTCTGCCGTTGGTGTAGATTTGGTTTAATTCGCTCGGACTGTTGGTTTGGGAGCCCTGCAGGCTCTCAGCGCAGATGAGCGGACACACGATCCCTGAAGCTGTCCTCACCATCAGACAGTCACAGGAACCACCTCTGCTTTCTTAGGGGCTCATGTGCAGTACTGGGAGAAAAAACCCAGAATCATGTATTTAATTGCTGGGGTTATTGAATTAGGCAGGTGATATCCAGGTTAATGAATCATTAACACATAAAAAAGCGATTAGCTCATTGTTTCCATAATTTTATGCAATGAAGCAGAAAGCTGTTTCTTAGGGTAGTTGTACTTTAATAGAATTTTGCAGACGATAATTCCTGTTGCTTTGTTTTTAAACTAGGTCAGCCAGTTCATGGTAGTTTTTGGTATTCTTGGCTGTGATTTTTTGCCATCAGCATGCAGGTGTATAGAACCTTATCTATAGGGTGATGGGCTGTCGGCTGCATTTCCACCACGCTCACTGACCTCACTTCTCCTGGGATTCTTCCTGGAGTGTCGGCTGTTTCTCACTTGCCATGACAACATTTATTCCTTCATACTCACAACCTTCTTCTCGAACTCCTGCTCTGGGCCACTCATTGTTCAGGCTCTGGGGATCCTTAGTCGAATGTGACCATCAAGATCTCTGCTTCTCTGGAGGCTTACATTCCAGGGAGGAGGAGTCAACGATAAGTGAACAAGTAAACACAGACATATTAGACGGTATTAAATGCTAGATGGAAATAAATCTAAGGCGTGATTGATCAGGGAGCACCTCTCGAGGGGCTGCTTCTAAGCGGAGTCCTAAATGCAGGAAAGAGCAAGGTGTGCGAAGACACAGGGGGACATTCCAGGCTCAAGGTCTTGTGCCGGGACAAGCTCGATGCCCGAGGGCTGCGGGAACGCATGCAGGGCTGTGGTGTGGGGAGGAAGGGAGGAGTGGGGATTTTAGTGCAGGTGCGGCTCTCTCCACCACGGGGGCTCTGAGTCGGGGGTGACCATTCTGACTGATGTTCACCAGGGCGGTCCCGTGGGGAAGGGACCGCGGGGCTGGGAGGATGAGCCGCTGGGAGATGGGGCCGCCTGACCAGCATGGTGGATGTGCATGGGTCCGGGGTACGGCTGGGGGTTAGAAGGGAGAGACGCGCTGACGGTTTAGTTGAAGCGGTGGGGGAGGAAAAGACTCAGGGTCTCCTCGATTCTGTGATTGGGCACCTGGAGTTGGAGCCCAGGCAGGCAGCACGCTCCAGGCCGAGAGGACGTTCAGGGGCTGGCGCCAAGGGAGGCGTTTGTCAGACCGGAGCCCCAAGCCCGCAGCAAACGCTTCCCGTGCTGTTGAGTCCAGCCCCACTGTGAGCTGCACCTTCCGACAATTCAGAAGGTGCAGCAGCTGGGGGGGGGGGGTGGGGGTGTGGGGAGGGGTGAGAGGGTGTGGGGAGGGGTGGGGGGGTGGGGTGCAGCCTGCTGGAATGGCAGCGTGCGGTGTGGGGGCACCCGAGCGCTCTGATGAGGGCCTGCTGGGCAGGGTGGTTGATGGTGAGCACTGAGGGGCTGTGGCGTCCGTGGTGCGTGGGGGAGGGGCCGGTGGGCGGGCTGAGCTGCCGGGAGCCGAGCAAAGGGGCGTTGCTGCCGGTGGTCCCGGGTGGAGGCTGGCAGAGTGCGCAGTGGCGGAATGAGCAGGCGGGTAGGCTGGGCTCAGGGAGAGGGAATGTGGAGGCCTCGTGGCTCGGGTGGGGCACTCGGGCCCTGGAGGTCTGGAGGGTGAATCGGCCCCAGCTCTCCAGCCTGCTGGGCGGGGGGACAGAGAAGGGACAAACACCGCTGGGGAGCAAGTTTCAGGAGGTCATGATGGAGAATCCTTGAGGCAGCTCTGGGACTGTGTGGGGTCATGGTCTTGACGACCCGCCCTCCGCAGTGTGTCCACAGCACAATCCCCTCCTCTTGCTTTTCTGAGCTCGTGCAAATGATAAGACTCCAGGGAAGAGAGATTTTGGTTGCCTGCGGCAAGGCTCCGAGATCCTTTTCCTCCGTGTGTTAGGCCACAGGGGATGTGAGGTAGAAGCTGAAGGAGCCCCAGGGGCAGCTAAGCTCCTCAAGTGGGGTGCACAGGAAAGGATCAGGGAACGGGGGACGTGTTCTCACCTGCTTGTAGGGCATTCTAGCTGAACCCCATGGCCTGACTGAGAAGCCACCCACCATTCTTGGGCCCCATGGTTTGGCCGAGCCGCGTGCCTGGGGAGCGCATCACGGATGCTGGCTTGTCAGGTGCGCCACTGGGCGCGTCTGGAGATGCCGCGGGTCTCTCCGGACCTTCCAGGACGGCTCTAGCCCGCTGTGCAGCTGCTCACCTGGCCCTTACCCCGACGGGAAGGCACAGCCCGCCGATCCCAACCCCATTCGCCTGGAGCTGCTGGGCGGGAGTCCTGTCCCCCTGCCAGCGAGGAATCCGGCCCTTCCTGGGGCTGCCCCGTGAGGCTGTTAGCCAGGCCCGACCCCACATTTGCTTGTTTTGGGCAGGTCTATGCGGTCCGCTGCTAGTTAACAGGTGTTTGTCACTTTGAACTGAATTCTGACACTTTTTCTCTTTTCAGATCAAACCGGTGGTACACTGTGACATGAATGTGCCTTCCCGGTGGTGGAATCTTCACCGCACCTCCCGGCACGTTAAGTGAGTAAGGTCTTGTGAGAGGTCACAGCTGCTGGGCTCCTTAGAGACAGCGTTCAGCTGGACAGACTCACCTTCACCAGCCTTCCTCCCTCCTCCCTCCTCCCCACCCTCCTCTCCCTCTGGCTTCCCCCTCTTCCCTCCTCCCTCTTCTTCACCCCTGTCCCCTCCCTCCCCTCCTTTCTTCTCTTGAACCTGATTTGGAAAACAATCCAGTTGCCGTGCTGTTCAACAGTTTACATGGGGGTGGAAAGGCAAGGGGCTTCCCACACACAATTTAATCTTAGGCTCTTATTTTGAAAGCTGGCAGTTGCAGCTGGTGGGTGTTGAAGGGAAGCTTACGGGTTATTTCCCCACACTGAGCTCTTACTGGCAAAGTAAGACCAAAGGCAAAGACCTGTGGGGCTATAGCATGTCATGCTCCCGTGCTGTGGCGGGAGGGGGATGTCTGGAGTCTCCATTCCCCCTGGAGCCACAGCTGATGCTAGGGTTCAAGGTGCCTGGGACTGTGTGTCCCGGGTGTCCCGGGTGATCAAGACGGCTCTCTGGGCCTGTCTGCCTTAGATTTGGGGTTGCAGAAAGCACACACTCGACTCAAAAGCATCATTGGCTCAAATCCCACTTTCATTTTCCTGTCTTTGTGACTGGCACATGCCCCATGTCTCTGAATTGGCTCCCTTGCTTGTAAAACAGGACGGATGATATCATGCGCCCGTGTGCGTGGGCTCCCTGGGGACACGACAGCAGCCCCGCCCAGTGCCGGTCCCGCAGCAGGAGCTCTCTGAGGCCTTCTTGTACTGGGATGTTATCATATTTATGATGAAAACCTGTGATGTGGAGATGAAGCTAGTGTCCTCCCTTTTACCACGTTCTGTTCCCAGGGCACAGAATCCCAGGGAGTTTCTGCAGAAGTGTGGGCTCTTGTGTCTGAATAGCACCAGCTGGGGCGTCTGGTCCTGGCTGTGGTCAGCACCTGCCATGTCCCTGACCCGGTGTCCTTCACATGCGTGCTGACCAGCGAAGGGCCGGGGGCCGTCAGGGGGAAAGCCCCGGCTAGACTCCTCAGAGCCCAGACTGGGAGGCAGAAGGATGCAGGAAACATGACCTGTTGATTAGCCAAATGTGCCCCTTTCATGTCTCTTCAGAACCTGGACCATCACTGCCATAGCATACCTCTCCTTCAGCACCTGGGTCTTTCCATCGTGCCTTCTCTAGGCCTGAAAGCTGTTTTGAAAAGATGAGAGGCAGAGTATTTCCAAAGTTTGTGAAAGACGCCTCTTTCTGAAGAGTGTATAGAAATTTTGGGGAGCAGTATTGACTTATGGATCTTGCCTGACAAAGAGGCATATCCCTAAAGCTACTTTTTTTTTTTTTTGGCATGAACCAAAATATCAGTGATTCTCACTTCTTTTGATGGACTTTTTTTCCCTCTATTACAGACCATTTACACTTGCAGCATGTGCTCCACGCATTAGATCGGAGTGCTAGAAATTCCACTAGATGGACCCAAATATCCATTCAAACGCAGTGTCTTCTCTACAGAGACCTGATCATGTTTGCTTGGAGAACCTGCAACTATAAAAAGCAAGCAAACAAAATAGTTGTGGTGGGTTCCAGAGTCTTTGATGTTCAAGGGAGAAAGGAGTTTCTCCCTTCTCACAGGCAGGGGAGCTGGGGTGGTAGTGGGGTGGCTGCTTGAGTGTGTGCCCAGATTCAGAGAGAGAGCCTGGGGCTCCCCTGGCTGTCTGGGTCCCCCCAGAACTGAGCAGGTCCAGACCACAGGTCCTGCTTCTGCCACTAAGCAAAGCTGCGTCACATGGTACCTGTTGGGTCACCATCATCACCATCATCAACACCTGAGGAAGGTCCATTCCTAGATCCATGTGCTATTTCTTATTTTTTAAAAATTTAAAATATTTCTTATTTAGTAATTTAAAATATGTTCTACTTAAAATATTTATCAAACCTTAATGAGCATCATAGCAGGTGCATAGAGTATAGTTTTATGTGTTTAACATCTCTAATTTGAGTTATATTTCTAAAAACTACTTTTTGGGACCAGAGTAACATATGCCCACGGTAAAGAAATAAACAGCTTTAAAAGGTATGTGTTACAAGTAAGTGTTCCTCCCACCTTCTGTCCCTAGATCCGTAGTGACTTCCCTGAAGACAATGGCTGCTAACCGCTTCTGGAGGATCCTTACAGGACAGGTTCACAGACCCAAGCATTTGGATCCTACAGACACTGTTGGGTGCCCCCTTTTTTCCACCACACAGTGTGTCTTGGAGATGGTTCCTTATGAGCACATGTGGATAAGCTGTGCTTTACATCACTGGCTGCACTGTTTTCCAAAATTCAGATGTGCCCTCATCTAACCATGCTGGGCTTTGGCCGTGTGTGCAGGGGCTCCTGCCCGCCCCTAACCTCTCCATCAGGGACTTCCCCAGGAAACTGTTCTTGGGTACTCAGGTAGGGTCTGTTGGTCATCCAGCCACCTGGAGTGTCGGGTGGCAGATGGACCGATGCTTGAATTCCCGCGGAGCAGGAAGCTCTGGTTCATTCTTCAGCTCAACCAGCAACTTTGGGAGCTGTGTTAAGTCTGGCACGTCCTCTGAACTTGTAGCTTCCTAATTTATAGATTAGAGAAAACATTTCTTTCCTTTCTTGGTCTTTAAAAATTAAAATATTCAAATGGGTAGTTTTTCCCCATTTTTACATTCTTATTATAAATACATGTGGGAACCTGGAACCCTGTAAAGAATAAAATCAAAATCCCTCGTCCTACTTCTCAGATCCTCCTCGTAGCCTGAAGGACACTCACTTTTCATGGTCTCTTCGTACCTTCTGGTGTGTGTGTGTGTGTGTGTTTACAGCATTAACTGTATTTGACCATAACCCCCTGTAAATACAAATTCTGGATCAACAATTCTAAGCTGCTGCGTAATTTATTACTGTCTGGCTGTGCCAGTTTACTTGACCATTTCTCAGTACCTGGACCTATAGGTTCTTTTCATATTTTGTTTCTGTAAATAATCCTATGAGAAATGTCTTTATATAGGAATCTGCTTCATTTCCATGGGTTGGATTTCACAAGAGGGAACATGGTTATTGACCCCATTTGTCTCTTTAGTCTGTGTGACCAACTCGCTCTGAGAGAGAGCACGACACTTTTAGCAACAGCCCCACTGGGTGTGTGTGTCTTAGTCTGCTGGATTCTGCTGCTGCCATAATTTTTTTCTTGGGGAGAGGACACGATTCTGTTCGTAAGAGTGCCTATTTCCCCACACTCAGTATAAGAATGCATGTTAAGTATCTTTAAAAATTTAGACAGAAACACTGCATGACTTTGTTTAAACATTCATCTCTTTTATTACTACTAGTAATCTATGTTTGGAAAGACTTTTGGGATAAGACATTTAGGAAAACCAAGAGATGAAAACATTGTGGCAAATATTTGCTGCAGGAAGGCTATCACATAAATGCATTGTAGTATAACTTGCTCAGAACATTTCCTAGGGTTTATTTTGGGGTGGTACTGTCCATAGAGAAGAAGGTGGTCTCTGCATGGATTGGAAGCCCTCCCCTACATTGCCACAGAGCATTAGGAAAGAAAACCGATTCTTCGTATTTTGCACAAATGTATTAAAATTTATATTTGCTCTGAAAGATGTATTCATCCAATTTTAAATTATTTGTATTATAGGAAAACAGCCACAATAAAACAACAGTAACCATGAATAATGTAAAAAATGGAAAGCCAGAATTGTAAAATTGAGCTCCTTAATGTTAAATGCAATTTATTACTTTAAGACTTACAGAAACAAGACTCATCATTTACATTATTCTAATTTGAGTTACAAGAGTGTGAAACTGTTGCCAAGTGACTTGGACCAGGTGGCAAAGCCTCATTAACAGGAGAACTGTGCACTGAGTACTCTCCCCGCAGCCGGCCCCTTGCCCCGAGGCAGAAAACAAAATAAACCCACTGGGATCATGGGGAAGCTGCCTGAAGACTACATGAGTGACATCAATTGTTATCTTTTATCTGTTTAGCTGTTATCTTTTCAGAGGATTGCACATTATTTCCTGTGGGACACTACCTTGGCTCCATGGGAAGGGAAAGGAACTGCATTTTTAAAGGCAAAATTCTCCCTTTGTTTGCCAAAAGGGCACCATTTTCTTCCATTTTACTCACCACAGTGGAGGTCTCTTATTTAAAGGGAGTCGTGTCCTGTTCACCTGGACATTTGATCGTCTGTGAAAAGATGTTTCCCTACAGAGTCGCTGTGTCACCAAGCTTTCAGCATTGAGCTTCTTGGAGACAGTCCTCGGCAGGTCACGGTCCTTGGCAGGTCAGGCTGGGCGTCTGAGGGCTGCCTGGAGATCGCATGTTGCTTGTGGTTCTCTAATTATGGGTCTCTCTTTGGATTTCCAGTGTTTCCCCCTCAAGGGTAAGGCACTAATGAATGCTTTTTTTTTTTTTTATTCTTACAGTGTTTTCACAAATGGAAGACTATTTATCCCACCTGTAAAAATTATCATACCCAAATTCAGTCTGATGGAATGGAATAGTGTGCTGGCCATGATTGGGGAAAAAGTCTTCCCTCTAGGAGGCGTACGAAAGTAAGGCTCTGTCCCCTGGGGGAGACCTGGTCACAGTGTGGGAGTGTCCTCCCTGGACCAGCAAGGACTCCCATGTTACGTCATTAACTCTGATTTTAATTCTTTGAAACAGACAATATTTACTGTCTCTTTAAAAAATTTTTTAATTTATTTTTTAAATTTCTTTTCAGTGTTCCAGAATTCATTGTTTATGCACCACACAATCCGTGCCCTCCACAGCACCCACCACCAGGCTCACCCAACCCCCCAACCCCCTCCCCTCCAAAGCCGTGTTAGTTCCTGAGTCCACAGTCTCTCATGGTTTGTCTCCCCCTTCCAATTTCCCCCAACTCCCTTCTCCTCTCCTTCTCCCCATGTCCTCCGTGTTATTCCTTATGCTCCACAAGTAAGTGAAACCATAGGATAACTGACTCTCTCTGCTTGACTTATTTCACTCAGCATAATCTCTTCCAGTCCCGTCCATGTTGCTACAAAAGTTGGGTCTTCATCCTTTCTGACGGAGGCATAATACTCCATCGTGTATATGGGCCACATCTTCCTTATCCATTCGTCCGTTGAAGGGCATCTTGGTTCTTTCCACAGTTTGGTGACCGTGGCTATTGCTGCTATAAACATTGGGGTACAGATGGCCCTTCTGTTCACTACATCTGTATCTTTGGGGTAAATACTCGGTAGTGCAATTGCAGGGTCATAGGGAATCTCTATTTTTAATTTCTTAAGGAATCTCCACACTGTTCTCCAAAGTGGCTGCACCAACTTGCATTCCCACCAACAGTGTAAGAGGGTTCCCCTTTCTCCACATCCTCTCCAACACTCCTCAGACTCCACACACACAAAACAGATAACTGATATTTACTGTCTTTTTACCATACTTATTTTTATTTATTTATTTATTTTTAAAAAAGATTTTATTTCTTTATTAGAGCTAGAGAGAGAGCACAAGCAGGGAGAGGGACAGAGGGGCAGAGGGAGAAACAGACTTCCCGCTGAGCAGGGAGCTCAGTGTGGGACTCCATCCCAGGACCCCGGGATTATGACCTGAGCTGAACGCAAACGCTCAACCAACTGAGCCACTTAGGCATCCCACCATACTTATTTTTAACTAATTTATTTCATTTTTCATTCAACATAGTTTATTGAACATTTGACATGTGCTAGGTATGGTGAAATGGGTGAATGAGGACATAGGGATGGGGAGGGGTGGGGTGGATAGGGGTGGGGTAGACAGTGGTGGGGTGGACAGAGGGGGAACAGAGGTGAGGTGGCCATGGGGATAGGGAGAGGTGAGGTGGACAGTGGTGGGTGGACAGAGGGGGACAGAGGTGAGGTGGCCATGGGGATAAGGAGAGGTGGGGTGGACAGTGGTGGGGTGGACAGAGGGGGGACAGAGGTAAGGTGGCCATGGCTGGTTGTGGGAGTGAATCCAGGGACAGGCTGGTGGACTTAGACCAAGGGGTTGGTGTGGATCAATGGACCAGAAGGAGGGACAGTGGGAGTAGCCAGCCTAGCAGGCTGCAGAGGGAAAGGTTAAGGCTTCAATGTTGGGAACACCACTGGGGAGAAGGATGCCCAAAGTCCTACATGGGAGTGGGCTGACAAAGTGTAGGAAAGACACAAACCTTCTGAGTCAAAAAGTCAGAGATGTGGTATGATGCTGAGTGTCGGAAGTATCGTCTTTATGCACAGTGATGGTCCCCATGATGGTAGGCATTGGGGTGGAAGGGCAAAAACATTCACTCCTGTTTCACTTGTCAGTTGTCTCTCTTGCGGGGTCAATTAAAATGTAAACAATTGATTTACGATCGGCAGTTGTGACACCAGTGATGAAGACCAAGCCTCCTTGTGAGCAGGACATCACTCTTGGGCGTTGAGAGTCGCGGGGTCGTCGTTAACCTAGTGAGGGCAGGGAGTCCCGAGGGGACCCCACACATGCCAGGGAAGTTCGATGTTACCTAAAAACCAGCACTGCGGGCACCCAGATGTTCCAGAAGGCAGGTTGATAAATGTCAGCGTGTTACTCTGAAGCAAAGAGCCAGTCCCGCGGAGCCAGCGGACTTGTGTGCGCTCTTGGAAGGAGCCGGAAGTGGTGGTAGAATTGATCACACGTCACACGTGGAAGGCCAGAGGCAAAGCAAGCCAGGAAACAGGATGTTCGGAGGGAAAATAGGACATTTGATTAATACGCTTTTGGTCTTTCTCTCCACTGCTCCCCAGTTCTTTATGGTTGAGTTAGAAAAGGTGCAGAGCTTGGGAATGACAGAAATGCTTGGAAGTACTAATGGTAAGTTTATTTGGTCTCATCACTACTGAGAACACTTAGCTTTCTGAGAACAGACATTCAGAGAAACACCCGGGCGATGAGTCTCATCCTTGCGAGGCTCCCGCTGCTGGAGGGAAGACCTGCAGCCCCTTTGGCGTGTCCGGGACGTCTGACTCGAGCTGCTCCAGGGTCCGTCTGCCCCTCCGCTCTGCCATGCGGAGAGCTCGGTTTCCCGCGTCCACCGCCCTCCGCCTGACCTGTCGGCTCGCGCAGCCCCTTCCTTGCTTCCGCTGACGGCGCCAAGGATCTCCTGGGCCCCCGAAAGGAACCCGGACTCCATCTCCCCCGCGTCTGTCTCCCGCCAGGCCTCGCAGTCGCCGGACTGACTCCTTCCCTCCCCAAGACCAGAAGCCTCCGTGCGTTTCCTCGGCTCCCACCTCAAGGAGGCCCGTCACGTTGCTGCGGCCACGATCTGAATTTCGGGTTATCCTGAGGAGGGTTTCTTTGCTCCGTTTAAACGACAGCCCGGATTGCGCCAGCGCGTGGCTGCCCGCGGCAGGTGACCCCGCGTCGTGTGTCCTCCAGGTGCGTTTCCTGCCGTTCGGCTCCTTCCCAAGAAACGCTCTCGGTGTGCGTCGCGGCCGGGGAGCCTGGTGACGGCGACGGCCTCCCCGGGCCTTCCCGGGCTTCCCGTTTCCGCGAGGGCCGCTCCGGAGTTCTTTCCTTCCAGGTTTGGAAACATCACGCCCCGTCTCGGCCCTTCAGTGCCGCTGTGGAAGACGCTGGTCGGGTGCGGCTGTGGCCGCGCTGCCCCCGGCTCGTCCGGGGGCGACCCTCCCGGTGGGGGACCCTCCCGGTGGGGGCCCTCCCGGTGCTCGCCGGCGTTCCCGAACGCGTCCGTGCGCCCGCCCGTGAGGCTTCCCGCGCCCCCTCTTGCGACGCTCGCTGACGCAGTTTGGTCCTGTGAAACGCATCTTGCTCGTTCCCACACATTTCTCTCCCTTTCACTTCCGTTATGTTTTGAGATTCTTTCGGGGGGCGGCGAACCCACACCCTCATTCCGGGGCTTTTCTCCCGAGCGCGGTGTTTCTCGTGCCGCCCGCCTCCGGGAGCCGCCCTCGGTCTTGTCCTCCCGGCAGTGGTGGAGCCGCGGCCCGGCCTCCGCGGGGCGCCCCGACCCAGTTGTCTCTGCGACTCAGTATTCACATGCGTATTTCTGTTTCTTCTCCACACTTCCTTGTTTTCTGTGTGTAACTTCTCCTCTTATCGCACTTACGGTGTTTTCATGTTTATATTAAATTCTTGGCCCACCTGCTCCGACACTTCTGCTTCTGGGGGGACGCACCGACCTCACCCGGCCGCCCTGAGCAGGAGACGCTGTCCTCCAGCCCGCATGGCCCTGCTGCCCCTCAGTCCCATCGGCCTCCGTCCACCTCTCACCTGCTGCTGGCATCTGTGCCTCCCGACTGCGTCCTGGGGACGCCTGCACCGGCCGTCTGGGTCCCCCAGTGCAGGGAGGCACCAGCGGTCCCAGCAGGGGGGCCCTGGCAGGAGAGGAACAGAGTTGCCAGCACTGTGCTCCCTGTCAGGGCCCCTGCTGCCCACGCGGCTGTCGGTGGCTTCTCGCGGTTGTCTCGGTCTAGAAGGTCTTCCCGTCCTTCCAGGGCTGGTCTAAGGTGGCCGTCCTCACGCGGCTCCCGGAGCCGCTGCTGCAGGGCCGCTGGCGTTTTTAGAGATGAGTGTCCAGCTTTGTCCTAGATCAGGGGCCCGGAGGCCGTGAGGGTGGGGCCGCCGTGCAAGTCTTAGCAGCCTTCCCGCGTTCTGACGCTGAGGCTGGAGAAGGACTGATGGGCGGAGGACGGTTCTGTGGCTTCAACCTCTTCAGAGGGAACTTGTCCTCTGCCCACTCTGGATTGCCCAGACCCCCGATCGCCTCATACACCCTCTCTGTCCGGCCCGAGCCTCCTGTCTCAGGCCGGGCCCCTTCCTCCATCAGCTGCGTAGGCGTGATGCCCCCACACCGGTCAGTGGCTTGTTGCTGGCACCCAGCTCCTGCCCGCTCTTCCATGGCAATTTCCAATCGCTGCGGCAACCCCAGGGATCCCTTCTTCTCCCTAGAACATTCAACGTTCCAGAATTTACTCTGCAAGCTCTGTGTGTGCCTTTCACCTTCAGCGACAGTCGACCCCTGTGTTCTGGCCTTTGGCCCCTCCTGCTACCCTGGATGGCTTTGCCCATCATCCCACGAGGACACTCCCACCCTCTGCACCCCTCTCGTGCCCCCACCTCTGTGAGGCCTACCGTTCAGTCTGGTTTCCTCCTCTTGGAAGTCTGGATCTTTGCCCTTCGCTGGTCCCATTTGTGTTTATAGGTTTGTGTACAAACCCTGATGACCTCTTTACTCGCATTTATGTCCGAGATGGCACCACCTTGTCCAGTGCATGAAGATACTCAGCATTGAGTGAATCGAATCATGTCTTACGTGAATGAATGAGTGGATGGATACTTGCCAATCCACTCTCCAGCCCAGAGTAAAAGTAGACAAATATGAGTCGTTTGGGGCTTATAAAAAGGCATATTATTTGCTAATAAATACTGGTTTGTTTTCCAAGCATTGTTATAACAATATAAGCCAATTTGTATTAATTTTTGCTGTTGTTAAAATTAATTGAACACCAACCAAGAGCTTAAAATGTTCTCAAGGGCCTCTAAGTACTTGTACATAATTGAAAATATACTTTAATTAAAAATCTAAAAATGGGAAGCAAGCTTAGCCTTGGAGGGGCAGCTCCCACGGGATTTAATTAGCCCATTTGGATTTCACTTGTCTACGTGTTCAGCGCTGGCCGGTAGCCCCCGCTCCGGTCGCATCACCTGCGGAAGGGCCCCCAGCCCGCGGCCGCTGCTCTGAATCTCCCGCCATCTCTTCTTGCTCTGTTCACAGGTTATTTACCATGAACGGGCATCTCTTGGATAACTCAAAGGACCTGCAGGACAACCACTTCTACGTGGCCGCAGGACTGGAAACCTTCAAATATTTCCCTTACTGGAAGTCCTCCACAGTGCCCAGCGAGGTCCAACGGTGAGCACGCTTCCTACCTTGCCCTCCTGAGTTGGGACAGTTTGCCTTTTTCCCCAGGATTGCCCCCAAGTTCAGCCGCTTAGCTCTTGGCTGCTTTTCCGGACTGAAGCTACATACTCTGGTTTTGTACAGGACACAGTTTTGGATTTTCACAGGGAGGTGTGAGACTCCCTGTTGTGTGATGTGACCAGGACAGGGAGCCCATTGTGTTGCGTGTACGGCTTCTTCTCAAGGCGACACTGGGAGACTCAGACAGAAAGAGTCTCAGTGTGCAGATCACACGGGCCCCGGGACATGGTTGTGATGGCCCGGCCTCCATCCACGACCTGGCTCTGTTTTCTTGCTTTGCCCGGGTTCCCCTGCTCTGGAATCCGGAGTAGGTGTGGGGCGGCAGGCTTTCCTGGTGGAAACAGTGGTGATCATGACAGTGGATCCTGGCCTGGGCTAAAGGTACACCATGGTGTGTGTGTTTATGGACTTTCGGGAACATCTATGAGGAAGACATAGGCATTGGTGGGGTCTCCCATTCCGTCACCGGAAAAAACCAGAGTGTTGGCTGTCACTTCTCGGGCTTTGCTCACTCCCTGGCTTGGCGTCTGAATTTGGCCAGAAAAGCTCTTGTGACGAGTGCACAATGTTCTCCTGCCCGAGGGACGCCCTGGGGCTTGGCTCTGAAGGACACGGCAGCCTCACGCATGGACCTACTTTCCCAGAGCCTGCAGGTTTGCTCAGTGGACAGGCGTGGACTCTGTCCATCTGCTGGTCTCACAGCTCAAGAACCTTGAAGTCCCCTGACAGGGTGGCCTGACATACGTTCCCAGGGCACAGTTGCATTGGATGCTTCCTCAGGGAGACTTTGTGGTTTATTAGTCTGGGGCCCTCTGTGGTGGAGCTCCTGACGCTCTCCTGTGTGTCCATCCTGGATGTCCCGGCTCCACGGTGGGTCAGGAAGGAGGTGACCTGCGAGGCCAGAGCTCAGAGGTGTATACTGATCCAAATCCTCAATTTTTTGCCCAGATTCAAGCCTGGGTATTAGGGCTGTGTCTGAGTTCATTGCCTCTGGGTCCTGGGGGATGACACGGTGGGGCATGGGATGACAGGGGGACAGCCTCAGGTGTGCCTGCCAGTGGATGGTGAGCCCCGGGGGACTGTGCCCTGCCAGCCATGCCCTTTGTCACCAGTGCTGGACCTCGAGGTTCTGTCCCTACCTGATTTGGTACCTGGGTGTCCCATGCCTTGCTGCCCTGTACATGAAAACCTCCTTCCAGGAGGCTGGGGTCGCGGCGTGTGACTCCGGTGCCTGGCCCCTGTTCCCACCCCGAGGGAGCTCCTGATGTCCAGGTCTGGCTGGGAGGAGCGGTTTCCAGCTTTGAACGGGACTTTGCAGCCTGGACTGCTCAGCCCCTGGCTGTGCTTGCACGACATGTGGGGCCACAGTGGTCTAAGGACACCTGTCAGGGACCCTCCCGTGGCTGCTGCTCCATCACGTTGCTCATGGTCACCATCTCGAGCAGAGGACCAGAGGTGTCGGCGTTGGTCTTGTGCTGGAGCCGGCGGGCGGTTCACCCCTGCACACCCATGAGTTCCCTGGCCTAGAGCCCAGGAACCCGAGACATGTTGTGCCTGTTCGCCCTTTCCTGCTGTTAGGGTTTCTACGTTGGGGCAGAGAATGGCTCGTTTTGTCCTGTCCGTAGGCGATGACCGCACAGCACATGGTTAGGCTGGGGTCCTGCCTACGTGCTGGGTAAGCAGGGCTGTTCCCGATTTTATCCACTTGCTAATTTGTTCCTGGTTGTCCTATCTGCACTGTGGGTAGAAATACCTCAGGGGCTGCTGGACGGAGGTGCTGGTCCTCTCTGCGCCCGTGTCCACTGCTCTCCGCATGAGCCCCCACACCATCCATGTGTTTTGTTTTTCTCTGTCCCCTGTTCATGTGTGGACCCTGAACTGGGTCTTAATTATCTTTCTCCATCGAAAGAGGAAGAGAGTCCCCAGAGTTGCTAAGACACTGAAGTCCGTTCCCCACCCATGGTGTGGACCCCAGAGGTGCCCTCATGCCGGAGAGCGGGGTGCCCGAGTGTTCCTTCCTGTGCGTAGCACTGGCAGGGTTCAGCCCCATACAGAGGAATTAGCAGGATGTGCTCCCCAGGCTGCGTCAGAGGGAAGGGTGGCAGTTAGATGGGGGGTGGGGGTCTGCCACGTGTTGGAAGGAGGCTGGGCTGGGTTTTGGATGGGGCTGGGGTCTCTGCTCCTCCCCTGGTCAGTGGTGCCACATTCACTGAACCCTCATGTCTCTGAGCCGTGCTCCTTCTCCAGCAGGGAGAACATGACGTGTGTGTGTCACAGGTCCCCGTGAGAGCTGCATGAAAAACCCGTGTTTGTGGGAGTGACCGTCAACGGCCAAAACCTTGGTTCAAACATGTTAGGATTTCCCCCCAGGACTGTATAAAAGCTTTAGGGCAGAAAGTGCCTGTAGACATGACACCCTCGGGCCAGAATGCCACCCACCCTGCTGGAAATGGAAACTCGTCGGATTTCCCAAGGTCTCCAGGAAGGAAACTGAGCAAACCTCAGTGGGGGCCCCTTCTGCTCAGAGGGTAGGAGATGCTGTTGATGTGAGCCCGTGACATGGGGGGACTGACGTGCCTTCCATGGGGCCTTGCCCTCCCAAATGCCATGGCTGTGGCCTGCATTTTTAAGAAGATGTATTTTGGCTGACTTTTATGAAGTTCTAGCTGACTTACCTTTTGTCTTTCAGAAAGTATGCAGACATTGAGAAATGCTCACGAGGAAAGAAAAAAGTGAGTCCTTTTCGGGGCACCCGGGTGGCTCTGTTGGTTGAGTGTCTGACTCTTGATTTTGGCTGAGGTCATGATCTCAGGGTCATGGGATCGAGCCCCATGTCGGGCTCTGTGCTGAGTGTGGCGCCTGCTTGGGATCCTTTCTCCCTCTCCCTCTGCCCTGACTGCTCACGCTCTCTCTTTCTAAGAAAAGTAAGTCCTTTTCACACAGTAAAGGTGAGAACTGGACTTGGGGACACTTGGCAGATCTGCCCCCAGGCCAGCCCCGGCAGTGGGGACTGGAGCTTCTGAGTGCAGTGCTGGCGTCAGGCTTCCCGCTGTGTGTGCAGCGATGAGACGTGGGAGCTCAGAGTGTGGCGCTGGGAGGCACACGGAGGCATTTGTGATAGGTGAGTGAGCGTGAGGTGGAAACCGTGTGGCATAGGGACAGACTGGAGGGAGAGGGGCCAGGCCTGGTGTGCACCCTGGGCCTGGGGGTGGCGGGGAGGGGGCACGTCAGGCACAGAGGCGAGGAGCGCTCACTGTGTGTGTGCGTGTCTACACGCAGTGTGACACACACAGCTCGGGACGAGAGGAGCGGCCAGCGAGAGTCAGGACAGGAGCCTGGAAGGGCAGAGAGAGGCCAGAGGTTGGCGGCCATACGGGTCCTTATCACCCGCCGATATGATGACCCCGTGCCCCCGCCGTCTTGTAAGATGCTATTTCAGTGGCCGCACTGACATTATCGTTCACTCAGCAAAGCTGTTGGGTGTCTCCCGTGTGGCTGCCCATCCCCAGCTCCCAGCCCGTTTGCTTGGCTCCTCCCGCCCGAGACCGACCCGCTGGGAGGCCCCCCATGGGCTGAGCTGTTCCTTTCCCGCATCTCACGGCCAGACCTCGAAGTGGCTTTTCTCCTGGCGCCGTTCCAATTTCATAACTGCCGTCTTAGCCGCTGTCTTGGAAGTACTTTGGCTTCCTCACCCCTCTGAACCATGCCGGAATTTGCCGGCAGGAGTCCAGCCTTGGCTGAGCCCAGCCCTTGCCCGTCCACGCTGGTGCTGGAGGAGCTCGGTGTCGCCAAGGTAACGACGCAGCCGACCTGACTCCTCACCCCGGGCTCACGACTGCAGGCCTCATCCTACCGCCTTTGCTGGAAAAGCCCGACGGCTAAAAGATGCCTTTCTGAGTATGTTTGGCTCAATTTTGTGAGGGACTTTTGCACGTTTGTTCATAGATGATATTCGCCTCCAATGCTGCTTTTTCGTGGGGTCCTTGCCTGGCTTTGGTGTCAAGGGTTTTCTGAATTGACTCTGTTGTTATTTTGGAAGCTTCCTGAAGTGAATGATCGTCTTATTTATTTTCTTTTCTTAATTAATTAATTAATTAATTTAAAAATTTATTTTCAGTGTTCCAGAATTCATTGTTTATGCACCACACCCAGTGCTCCATGCAATCCGTGCCCTCCACAATACCCACCACCAGGCTCACCCACCCCCCACCCCCTGCCCTCCAAAACCCAGTTCCTCAGAGTCTACAGTCTGTCATGGTCCGTCTCCCCCTCCGATTTCCCCCAACTCCCTTCTCCTCTCCATCTCCCCATGTCCTCTGTGCTATTCCTTATGCTCCACAAGTAAGTGAAACCAGATGATAACTGACTCTCTCTGCTTGACTTATTTCACTCAGCCTAACCTCCTCCATTCCCATCCATGTTGATGCAAAAGTTGGGTATTCATCCTTTCTTCATCTTATTTATTCTCAATTTTCTTTCTCTACAGATAGCCTTTGGCATTAAGTGTTTGTTGATTGAATGAGTGGACGAGAATCGTTGAGAATGCAGAACCGATAGACATGATTCTGCCCTAAGGATGCGTTTCCTCACGTGCGGATGTGTTTCATGACAGAACGCTTGTGTGAATGAGTCTCGTGTGTAGCGTGATGGTTTGCAGGAGCGGGGGCCGTCGACATGTGGACATAGGCAAGCAGAGCACAGGTCCTAATGTGGTCCAGAGAAGGGGCAGACATTCCAGGTGGAGAGGGGCCTTCGTGGATGTGCACAGGTTTCCAGCGTCACAGTTTTCTCAGCTGCCTCCACTGGTGTCTTCACGTGCGGTGTGGACACTGACTGTGAATGTTGAAACAGCCTGAGTGGCACGAGCTTGGAATCCCACACTCGAGTGATTTGGGGGAGCCTCTGGGCACAGAGAACAGAGCCACGAGTTTGGGGGTCGTCATGGCTGGCTTTCGTTACGTCCTCGTTTCATTATGCTGTTGTGACTCTGGGTCCTGATAGGTGGGGATAGGGCTCTCTTTCCCTTTTACTAAATATTTGTTCTATTTGGTCTAACATGTGACACGTGTTTGTTCTGATACCCTCCATAGTGCTTTCTCCTCTCTTTTGGAACATTAACAGGTTTTAAGGATGCTATGTAACGGGAAGAATCTTAAACGGGATCATCACAAACATTCATACCCTACAATGCAAATAAAATGTGTTATTTTAGAAAAAAATAAATCTTATCTTTGAAAATATTCTGTGATGTATGACAAGGCATGGCACGTAATGGCAGAGCAAACACATTTTATTCCAGGAAAAAAAAAAGGGAATTTCTAAAAGAACAGAACAGGCATTGATTTTGACAAAGGTTGATGTAAAATTTGTGCTTTTCTTGTACAAACGCCTCTCAAGGTGTGTCACCTCATTTGTTGTTCCCCGTGTGGAGGTCTGTGTAATATGTTGAACAGAGAACTCGGTACTTACAAACTTTCGCCCTGGGTGAGGAACAGGTGCATTTCTAAGGAAGGAGATGAGCGCATGTGCCAGGCTTCTCTGGCTACGTGAGGCTGGGTTTTCTTTTATTTTGTAATTTTACTTTTTGAGGCTGGGTTTTAGAATTACTCTCAGCAACCAAGTAATGGCAAGTACGGTTGCTTCCTTATGGGCCGGGCTCCCGTCGTCTCTTACTCAACTTCTCTGATTTGTCTTCCATGGGAAGTGGGGCGCCTCCTGCGTACGGGGCCTCTGCGCACGGCTGCTGATGTCGCGTGTGGCTTCGCGGTCGTCGCCTGTCTCTTCGGCCGAGGTGAGTGCGAGGTTGTCACTACACACGTCGGGCGTTGTTGCTGCAGACGTCCTCACGGTGACGTGGATATGACTCAGAATCGAAGTGGACAGTTACTGTATTCCCAGAAAGGTACAAAGATAGAGCGGCGGCTGGATATTCGTGGAACACACTCTTCTTTAATTCCTTATATTTTTGCAAAGGAACAACCCACTCTTCTCTGGGACTTGAGGAGAGAAGTTGGCTGTTCGCAGCTGAAGATTCAGGCTGGGGAACCTGTGACAGTATAACGACCCAGGCCTAGGGGTCAGCACAGCGATGCTTTATTACGTCTCCCAGTCCTGTGTGTTGGCTGGGTGGGTCTTGGGCCGGTGGCGCCTGCCTTCCTTTCGGGTGGCCTTCAGCTGTAGGGGCCGCCGGGCTGCTGCTGTCTTTCGGAGCACGTCTGCGGCGGTGCTGCGCACAGTCCCCCTGCAGTGGGAGGCACGCGCCCACAGTGTGCAAACCTCCCCTGTGTCCAGAGAGGTGTCTGGCGGCCAGGAAGTACTCTGCCACGTTCTTCCACCTCATCTCGTTACTGAGGCACGTGCAGAAGCCTTGCTTCCCATGCTCCAGGCAAGAGAGCACCAGCCTCAAAATGTGCAGAGCCACTTGGGAGAACATTCCAGAACAGTAGTGGTGCACTCTGTCCACACGGCACGGCGAAGCCCAGATGTACTCAGCTGTGAGGCAGCTATGGCTCAGGACAGCCCGACGCGGGGTGTGGGATCTTGAGACAAGCCGAGTAGTTTGTTTCTGTGGCTTGTCCTCTTGCTTTACGTCCGGATGTGCTATGTGATAAAAACCGACGTCTAAAAGTTCCAAAAGGGCTGTTCCAGTGGAAAACAGAACTTCCAGGTAACAGGGTGTGTGGCAGAGCTTAGCTGGTAGTTTGTTTCTTAGCAGCACGAAAAATAACGACGTGTCTTATGATTCATGGCATTTGATTCCATGAAATGAGGAGAAACACAATGGCAGGTGCTGGGGGCTCCCGGTGACTGGACGCGGGAGCGCAGGAGAGGCCGCTGGGCTCCGGGTGTCCATTAACCTGCCCGTGACTGTTGAGTCCTAGGAAAATACCTGAATGAACCTGTCCTGATTTTGTTAGATCAGATTCCGTATTATAGCAACTCATTTACCATAATTTTGTATCTATTACTCTTCAAGAAGTGAGGCTAATTTAATAAATGTTTAAAACTTCATTCCCATATTAAAATGAATATTTTAATGTGCAAGCCTCCATAACATGTTGGTAAATAATTAATAGGCATTGTGTTTATATCACAGCCACAGCCAGAATGTTAGTATTACCTACTTCTCTCTTGGGCATAGAGTGCAAATGGTGGTAGTGAACTGAAATGAACAAGAGATGAAACAGTTAAAGGCTCCTCTGTGTGTGTGTGTGTGTGTGTGTGTACGCGTGTGCACACATGTACGAAACAGTCCCCATACTGTGGGACACGCACACTCTAATGACCAGGTCTAAACTGTAAAGCACAGTGTGGAGAAAGTGCATCGGCACTGACATTCACAGGCTATTAATGTCAAGACTGTTGCAGTATCACATCACATCCAAGGCTGCATTTGTATCTCCTTCCAGTGGCTCGAAGAGGCGACAGTCAGGTTCAAATGTTAGCAAATGTTCCACTTTAATAATGCATGGAATAGGACCTGGTTCTCTGATGGCAGACCCTGACCCACTTGGAAGCAGGATGTTCACTCGGGAAGCTGGAGCGAGGCCTTCAGAGCGCAGCACTGGCTGTCCCCCTGGGCGTGGCTTGACTCAGAACCTAACTGGGTGGTTCCTGTCCCTCCACTAGACAAGCTCTCCACTTCACCCACAGCACCTTGCGAGGCTGCCTCTCCTGCGCCTGAGCACGACTGTCTGTTACAGCCGCATTGAGTTTAGTTGGATCGAATGACATAGGCTCCAGAGGAAGGTGAGAGTCCCGACAGCACTCCGGAGAAGTGAACATGGCGCGCCTGGGGTATGTCCCCTGAGAACGTTTTTAATGGGGGGAGGATTAATGAAATGGGAAAGGAGCACCTGCCCCTTTGTAAGGCACCGCGTTGATTTGAGACTCAGGACTCAGGGCAGGGAGGAGTGGGGACAGGGTGACCCGCAGATGTTTCTTTGCGTGGGGAAGCCACAGATTCTCTGTTTTCCGCCCAATCTGTTGTTTCTGAGAACTGCTGTGAATCTGTGTTGCCCTGACCATGAGAGACATGCAGAGTGTCTGCTGCACGGCGGCTGTGTGTGTAAAGCTGAAGGCGGCCCCTTCCCATCCTTGGGGAGCACAGACCAGCAGGGAGCCCGTGGGCAGTGCTGCAGGTGCGTGGCCGTGGGCTGCGTGGGTCGCGGGGGTGGGAGTGTGGACGAGGGCTCCTCTGCATGGGACACAGTGACCCTGGAGCAGGACCAGCACTGGAGGAGGTGGCAGCTCTGGAGAAGCATCTGGGGTGTCCCTGGCAGGTCGGGACAGCAGGGGCATAGAGGCTGCCTCACGGGCACAGGCGGGCAGGCTGGGCTGGCGCTGCGGACCCTGCAATCCAGCCCCCAGCTTTTTAAGATTCCATTTATTCATTTGAGAAGAGAGCAAGCACAAGCAGGGGGAGCCTCAGAGGAAGCGGGAGAAGCAAGCCCCCTGCGGAGCAGGGAGCCCCACATGGGGCTCAATCCCGGGACCCCGGGGTCACGACCTGAGTGAAAACCGAGGGACAGAGACGTTCAAGTGCCCCAACCCTTCCCCCTTCTTTGTCCTATTCTTCTTCTTTTCCTACTTTCCCCCACAGCTTCTTATTCAGTTCAAGAGATCAGCAAAGATTTCCTGAGCAACTGCCGGGATTACTTCCTTGGGCACGTGTCTGTGTTGTGAGGTCCCTTCTTGCTTGGAGCCAGGAAGGCAGAGGCAGGGCCTGTGTTCTGGTGACGACGTGCAGGTGTTCCAGGATCGTGGCCCCAGGACCCTGAGCTCGGCGTGCGCTGGGATTTGAAAACAGGGAGCAAGGGCGTTGCCAGTGGGGTTGACCTGGACGGTGGGCGAAGCCTGAGCAGGGAAGAGGCTGGCGCAGGGATGGGAAGGTAGGCGGGCTTAGATGCGAGTGTCCCAGTGCTGAGCTGAGGCACTTGAACACCACCCTGAAGTTGTGACAGCTCCCGTGAGCATCTGAGAGGTGCAGGGGGAGGAGATTTGTGTCGGCACCGTTCCCTTACTTCCCGGGCAAGTACTCACCGTGTGCTTTCTGTGGCCTCCCGGCTCCGGGCTCTGGGAAGTCATCATTAGACAAACATCTCTGGCCCCAAGGAGCTTCCAGCCTTCTAGTGGTGCGATGCGAGTGACAACCATCCCGACTAGTCACGCACACTTGAGGTTGCTTCAGTGCTGGGCAACAGGATGAAGGGGAGGGAGGCAACGGGGTGTGCGGGTGAGCGTGGCCGGGTGAGGGTCCGACCTGGTGAGAAGCTAACCTAGCACGGCTCCAGGTTTTGGGGCTTGTAGAAGTACGGAGCTTCTAGGAACTCACGTTCCTGTCAGGTGCTGTGGTAACGTACGAGATTAGACAGTGAAATCAGTTTATTGAACTTAGGCCCGCTCTTCATCTGCCATCACGCTGGCCCTGAGTCCTTTGTGTCTCGGGCCACCTTCCAGGTCGGTGTGGACCCGCTCAGCTCTGTCGTGTTACCGCATCTGGGGTCGGGAGGCCGGGGGGCCCGGGGGTTGGGCTGCGATGGTCTTGGCTTTCGCTATGCACTTTGCTCTGCCCCATGGTCGCACTGTGTCCTCGTGAGGAGGGTGGGACCCTTCCTGTGTCACTTTATATATTACTTCCGAGGTGGCAGTGGACACAGGATGTCTTGTAGAGGCCAAGGACGAAAATGGTTGCGAGAATCGGTGTCAGCGATGCGTGGAGTGAAGCAGGTTTTCTGAATCCCATCCCCCGGCTGCTCCAAACACAAGCAGCACTTACTGTGTTCTGTTTCTACGACCCGTTCTGCCAAGATCTTGTTCCAATACTTGTGGGCATGATTGCAGCTTTTAGGGAAGCCCCTTAAAGTAGGTAGAAAGACTTCGCTTGGTTCTTGTATTTGGTCGTGGGACGACCTTATGCACTTTAACTTCTGCAAGGACAGAGCAGCCGGTCGTTTGTGCCATAAATAATGTTGATGGTACAGGGAGGCGCCGTAGAGAGCTCGGGAGAAATCCCAATTTATATAGTCCCGCCTGCGTTCAGTAGAGACAGAGAACAGGGAAGCTGGAAAGGTGGTGTGCGGAGCAGAGCGGGGATGTGCTCAGAATGAGCTCCTTGTCCACTGTGACCCTTTGTGCTCGGTCATTACTGTCTGTGGATTTCTTTCAGACCATCTGAGTTTCCCTGTGTCTCAATCCAAAACCAACCTGTCTCGGAAAACATGTTGAATAGCCTTTTATCAGAGATGCGCCCCTTGCTCAGGGGTTCCAGGGCAACAGTTTTGTCGGTGTTGAAAACAGTGATTTTATGAGGCTTCTAGGTGTGTCTAAAACCACACGGACCTCTTCAGACTCACCTGCCCCCCTTCCAAAGCCTCCCCTCATTTTGTCGGGACTTACGGGGGCTTGGGAGTACCTCCAGGGGGACGACTGGCCTTCCCTTCCTGGGAAGGGCTGTCCTCGCCGTGGGAGGGGTGTGTTTTGCCACTTTGCTGAAGAGAAGTGTAAGGGACGGGCCGTCCAGACCTGGGTGCTAGGAGGGAACGTTCTCTGAGGTACCCGAACGAGGCTCGCCTGGTCGTTCTCAAACCAACGGGTAAGACTCAGGGACACTGCTGTTCCTCACACTTTTTATTCTTAATTTGTACCTTAGGAGGACATCAAAGGAAAAGAACCTCATAAGTACGACAACATTCCCTGTAAGGGAGAAGATTCTGTTTTTTATGCCAAAGAGGCAAAGAAGAAAATGCTCGTGGATCATTTAATGCAAGGCGGCACAGGTAATGTGAGTCCGTCTGGCTGTGGGCGGGAAAAAATGCTGCCATCCTAAGAATGTGCTTTTCCCCGGGCCACTCCTCTGCAGACACGGGGCTTGTAACTGATTGTAGCACTGGACGTGTGACTGGTTCACAAATGAGACATTCAGCTCCAGGGGCCGTGGTAGTGAGAGGAGAGAAACAGATTCCCAGTGCTGAAGGCGATGGGCTTCCCCAACCAGGAAGCCCTCCCAGATCAATGCAGGGATTCTGTGTCTCCGTGAGCATCTGGGCGGGCACGCTTTCCCCTAAGGACCGGCGATGCAGTAAACAACTTGCAAACTACTTAGCCTTGGGAGGGAAACGTGATACTCAAATCCACTGGAATTGTGTGGGTTTACTTTTTAAGTGTGAGGGAATTTGAAAGAGTAAACTTTGGAGCTGACTTTAAAACGAAATAATTAGAAAAAATACTTTTTCTGCTCTTGCTTCTATTCTACGGAGCCCTGGCTCGGAGCCAGCTGCCCCACGTCCCATCGGTGTGTGTCCCAGGGGCATCGCCGGGGGCTGGTGACACAGAGGCTAGGACCAGGGGAAGGAGGGCAGCGAGTCCGGCTTCCTCCTCTTCGTGCGCCCGTCTTCTCTCTGCTTCCCGGGAACCCTCTGCCACTTTCCTGGTGACGTCCTGACCGTCTCCCTGCGCTTCTCTCCTGCTCCCCGTCCCCGTTGGGCCTTCCCATCCCAGATGACGGTGCTGTGCGGCTGTGCACCAGGCCCTGGTGTGGACGCTGGGCACTCACAGCGCTCCTGGCTGGTGGGCACGGCTGACACAGTGTGCGATTAGAGCTGACCATGGCCAGCATGGGCCGAAGACCAGAGCCTACTGACCCTGTAGTCCCCGTAAAAGAGACTTTAATCAGTGCATGAGAAGTTTCCTTTTTGACAAAGCCTGTACTGTGTGGCTGGCCTGCCCGGCAGGCACCTGACCTTCTCTCCGGGAAGCAGCGTGCTGTGCTGGGGCCCAGGTTCCGGGCACGGCCCTCCCGGCGTGGTCCTGAGTGCGGTCCCGAGCGTGGGGCCCTCTGCACGCTGCTTCTCTACAAACGGGCACAGTAGGATCTTCAGAGACTTGTGCGCGTGCTAATACCAAGCAGGTAGAGGAGGATCTGGCACCCTGCGGGCCCACGGACGCCGCCCCCGGCCATCTTCTTACCGTCATCCCTTCCGCTGAGGACTGTGTGACGGTCCTCCTGGGGCTGAGGGCTGGGAGGGGCGGGGAAGGACAAGAAGTAGAATGAGCTGCCGTCACTGAGGCCATCACGACCGTGGTGACATCCTCTGGGGGCTGAGGCAAGTGGCCGGTCCTTTTGCAGTCACTGAAGTCCTGGCAGGGTGAGGACAAGGTTTTCGAGCACCTGCGGATCTGTGAGCCTGTGGCATGTGCGGCGGTGGGGCCGGTGAGGGGCTTCTCCTTGTGGGCTCAGCCAACTGCTTCCCGACGTGCGGTTTTAATACCTCGTCGGTTAAAACTCATTTAGTTCGTTACTTCAAAGGAAGTTCTTGAAGTAACCGAGGTGCATGTCCTCAGACTAGGACTTTGGTGTCGGGCGGGGGGTTGCTTTGTGGCGATTTTGGAGTCGGCTGGACACACGTTTGCCAAGCGTCTGGCAAGTCTTGTCTCTGGGGCAGGACGCAGGGACGACCGTCCGTGCAGACACGGAGGCAGAAGCAAGGCCGTGGGGATCCCGTGGTGGGATTCAGGGCTCCAGGGCCAGCTGCCCGTGCACCACATCGGAAACTCAGTGGTGCCGAGCCGCGACCTTGGTTTGGGCCAGAGAATGTGCTGGGACGTCGGCTTAAACACCTGTTTGTGCTGTTTTCCTCCAGAAGGTGACGTGTACAAAGCCCAGACTCCTCACATGGAAACCCAAGGGGCACCAGAAGTCAGAGAGGACGATGGACTGCACGTGGAGGCGCCTGCAGACCAGGTGGGTAGCAGGGGTCGCACGACCCTGCCTACGACCATCTGAGCTGCATCAGCCCACCTGCCCGCCGTCTCCTCCCCCCACTCCACGCTCGCCGGGCCTCTAGCATGTTCTATGCCCCCTCTGGTCAGTTACTGCTCATCTTCTGGGTCCCGCATCACACCTTTTCCTGCCTGCCCCTCCCCCCGGTGGGTTCTTCTGCTTTGGGGACTGTTCTGAGCACTTGGCATGGTCTGTGGCTGCATACTTAGCTTTTTTTTTTTTTTAAAGATTTTATTTATTTGACAGAGAAAGAGAGATCACAAGTAGGCAGAGAGGGAGGGGGAAGCAGGCTCCCTGATGAGCAGAGCCCGATGCAGGGCTCAATCCCGGGACCCCGAGATCATGACCTGAGGCAAAGGCAGAGGCTTAATCCACTGACCCGCCCAGGTGCCCCTGCATAGTTAGCTTTGTTGTGACTTGATTGCGGTACCTTTTCTAACACAGAGGGGTCTGCCTGCTGTGCTCACTGCAGTCACCCTTGTCCCTGGCACAGGCCCTGGCAGGGAGAAGGTCCTGAGTGACCACGGGTGCATGACAGGGTGATGGAATGAGTGGTGCGTGGGGCGATGAGCTGGGGAGGCACAGGTCTCTCACCGCCTGCTTTCTGACCTCCGACCCCTATCTCCTTGTCTACACGGTGGGCATGTGCCACCGGGCAGGTTCGTGTGGGGCTAAGGGAGGCAGTGCATGTGTGAGCTCCTGGTCCAATGCCTGGGCCTCTCTGCTTCCTTCCCTCGGGCTTACAGAGGCTTAGAGTCTGGGGAAGGCCTGGGGGGAGTGGAGGGAAGCAGATGAGGTGTGAGGGAGTCAGCCTCAGCCGGGACAGAGCAGAAGCACAGGGGCCTCATGCCCTCACCTGCCCAGGGAGCAGGTCACGTTTCCATGGGCCTGTGGTCTCAACTCCTGCTCCCGCAAAGGGCAGGTGGGCAGGTGAGCTCTGAACTGCATGGCTTTGTCCCCCAGAATCTTCCTGAAAACACTACAAGTTTCTCCCTCCCTCCCTCCCTCCCTCTCTCCCTTTCTTCCTAAGATTTTACTTAGGGTGTGCATGAGAGCTGGAGCAGGGGCATAGGCAGAGGGAGAAGCGGACTTTCTGCTGAGCAGGAGCACCCCCCACCCCAGGGTGGGACTCCATCCCAGGACCTAAGCTGAAGGCAGACCCTCAACGACTGAGACACCCAGGCGCCCCTAGGAGACATTTCTAATTGTTTTTGAGAAAAGAATACAGGCTCTGTAAAAGGTCGGTGTCTGCGTGTGAGTCCCGTTCTCATCCCTCTGACTCAGACTCCGCCCCAGTCCCGACTCTGTGGTTCCACGGCCAAACCCGGGGGACAGCGAGCTTCCGGCTCCTCCTTCGAAAATCAGTCACTCTTACTTCTCTCCCTTTATTGGTAACTTCTGCTGTTTTTCTTTTCCGTGATATAGGACCGGGTGTGATAGACCATATCAAGGCACTGGCCGCTTCCCCTGGCATTTTGAGCACTTTCCCATTGCGTCCCGTTGTATTTTCTAGATTGTAGTGATATTATTTATTCTTTTTCTCAATCATGAAAAAAGACAGAGTTAGTTTTCTCTTAAAACTCAAAATAACGCTGTATTTTTATTGAACATTTAAGGCTTTTTGTAATAAATAAGACATTTTAAGTAGTTACTTTTATACTAAAAATTAGCACCCCCCACCCCGTCCAATGCGGATTATCGTTCTGGGTTGTGGACTGTGAGCAGCTGGTGCAAGTTTTCAGCACAAGGAAAATTCTAGTGTCACAAATACTGTTTTTGTAATTGCGAGCAATAAACATACTCATGAGTTTCTGTTGCTAGTGTCTGATTTCCAATGCTTTCGAGGTTGTGTGGTGAAGGGGGTTCCCAGAAGGACTGTACTAGCCCAAAGGTGAGGCTCTGCAGAGGGGAGTCAGGAAGGCGGGAGAGGTGGTCAGAGAGAGGAGAGGCCAGGGCGGGTGCGGGGTGTCAGAAAGCAGCCGCCGTGCTGCTCTCCGTCTGACCGTCCTTCTGTGCGCCCGCGACTGCTGATTTCTCAGTGCACTGAGCCGCGTCGTAGCTGTCAGGGGACCAAGTTCTGTGGCTTCGAAGGACAAGGAGACAACGGGACTCCCAGCTGCGGCTGCATCTGTGGGCATTAAGACTAGAGCAGTGGGGGTTAGGTCAGCACCCTCCCTGTGATGTCGTGTGTGTGTGTGTGTGTGTGTGTGTGTGTGTGTGTGTGTAGTGTGCAAGCAGAGACACAGACCTGCTGCACCTGTGGGAGCTGGAGATGAGGGGCTGGAGTTGCTGAGTGAGGGGTGGGGGGCACAGCTCACCTGGGCAGTCTTCTCGCCACCCGCTGTGCCATTTCCTGACACCCAGCAGGGGCTCAGCACAAGCTTCTTCAGTCCTATTGAATAAATGCAAGAAAATTCCGGGGATTGGATAAATGGATGTAAGGCACAGCAGGTTGAGGTGAAGTCTGGTTCTTGGAGATGGACCAAGTCCCCAGACTGAGCTCTGCCTCTTTGAAAACAAGGTCCCTGTGGTCAGTTAGGTTTGGGAAGCGCTGCCTTTCCTGTCGGTCCCTCGGGGAACCACAGTGTGTGTTAGCGTATTCAGTGTTTCAGAGAAGTTCCCAAATTAAAATAATGTTTAAGCTTTTAGGTCAACTCGCATTTCCTTTCCCAGGAATGATTTTCCTTCTAGGATCCCCACGAAACACACTGTAGGCTTGCCGGTGCGCAGTGTCCAAGGACTGCCTTTCTCCCGGCGTGGGAAGAAGGTGGTATTGTGGGGCAGGAGAGCACGATGTGGTTTGGTGGGTTCCCTGGGTGGGTCCTCACCCAGCGGATGGACGCTCCACTACGGGCAGCCCTGGCCTGGGTGGGGGTCCGTGTCACAGTGGCCCACAGGCCCGGAGAACCGTGTGTTTGTCTTAGTTCTGTGTGGCTGTGCTGGGTGAGCTCTGGTGCGTGCTGGGGTTACTGGTTTCCTTGCGAGAGGCGGGGGTGATGCTTGTTTATACCGATGCCCTTAGGACTCCCCAGTCCATTCATGGAGGAGGGCCTGGCCTTAGGATAAGACTATTTGATTATGGTGTTGGCTTTTGTAATAACCCGCACTTCTTCGCTCATGTTTCGAGTAACTGGCTATAACCTTGTGGGCGAGCCCGACCATGTGACAATGTTATTTCTTATGCTTGTGTCGTCGCCTTGTCTTCATTTTAGTATCACTGTAAAGATACAATGTTACAAAATGTAACATCCCAAGTAATCAATTTATGAATTTAGAGTCAAGCCTGACCGGTGAGGGGAACCTCCAGAATCGGGCATCCTCCATACCCGAGGGGATAGTTTTAGGGCGAGTGCCCCTGAGCAGTCGATGGTCCCCATGGTCAGCAGAAGGCGGGAGCATCGGCGAGGGGCAAACTCACACTGGCGGCCGCTCTTTTTACCACGGCAACATGCCTGCACGTTGCTGAGCTCCCATCGCTTTTGATGAACAGAGCGGGGCTGTCCTCTGCTCCTGCCAGGAGAATGGAATGTCCGCTTTTTGAGGTGAAGAGCAAGACTCCCACTGTGTCGCCTTCAATCTTTCCTGTGCTCCAAGCCTAGAAACTTCCCTGTTCTTGAAAGTCAGTTGGAAAATCTCTTGCTGCTGTGAAGAGAGGGGAGGTTGGGGGAGTCAGAATGTGGGTCAGGGAGTGTCAGAAAAGGGGCTGTGGCTGCTTTGAGCATTGCTCTCCCTGACCGACCAAGATGACTGTTAATTTTGCGTTTTGACCTGTGTTCTGATTCCTAAAATGTTCCCATTTTTTGTGGTCTGTCTTCCCGTCGTTTTCTTTGTGATTCACTCCCAAAGATCGATACATACTTCCAGCGACACATGCCAGTGTTTCTAACCTCCACCTTCTGTCTCTCGGTTTTCTCCCAGTGGAGACAGACATATGTAATCGGTGTCTGTACGTTCTCTTCCTCCTGCCGTGGTGGATGGCACCTTCTTACATCCAGGGTTGCTGGTGCTGGAAGCTCATCCTTGAGCTTTTCTCAACTTGGCATCGAGACCACAGAATTCCGTTGATGTCCATCTTTGGCTCCTGAGAGAAATGACATCGAGGTGCCAAGTCAGATATGCTCTTCTCACTTAACTCTGTGACCTCGCTTACATGTGTCATCACTGCTAAAGCTTCAATGTCATGGAACCCTCAACCAAGCGGCTCCTGACCAAGATGGAAGGACAGCACGTGGGAAACAGAACGGGAGGGGCAGGGAGGGACGCGCTGGATGTTATGAAGGATTATGCTGGGGGCCGTCTATCTGGACCTGGGTTATAGTTCTCTTTACTCACATTTCCTTTTTTTCTATGCTACATTGTCTCCTTTTGAGTTTTTGTTTCTAAGATATTACAATTTGTCTTCAATGTTTTTTGTTTTCCTTTGACTTAACAGCACATGCTATGTCCCCTGCCAACATTTCTGTCGCAGGTCTTCAGTGAGGGTTTAAATTTTCCATCAGCTTCGATTTTCTGGGAGAGGCGGGTTTTACACCAGCCTTCCTTTCGGAGTCCTGCGTTATGAATCCCCGTGTTCAGGAAATGCTTCTTCACAGTCTGCACAAACCCGGCACCCAGATATTAAAACAGTGATGTTGAAGTTCTACTTGATTTAGAGTACACATTTTTCACAAAAGCCATGTCTCCTGCCAGCTTTAAGTTACATTTATTTTTGTAAACTCTCTAAAAGGACAGAAAAGTGCCTAGAATGGTGGGCTCTGTTTAGTTCAGGACTCTGACCTTCGATTTTTTTTCCAGGGGGAGGGTGCAGGGACCAGTTCTGTCCTCCTAGAGTATCGTCAGCCTGTCTTTCCCCGACTGGGGCTAGGCAGGTCCCGTCCAAGCTCAGGAAGGGTGGACCGACTGAAATGACGAGGACTGGGTCCGGTTCTCACCTCTACTGAATCACAGTCATTTTCAGAGCCCCCAGGAGCGGTGCGCGGGGAAGGCGCCTTCACTTAGATCTCCTGTGGCCGCCAGAGCACTGCCCCTGAACTTGAATTCATTTCACTCTAGAGAAAGAGCTAAGAATGAGACAGTAACGGAAGTAAAATCAAAACAATCTGGACTGATTAGGAGAAGGTCAGTCCAAATTTGTGTCCTCTCTGCATTGTTTCATTAGAAAGGACGTAAGGGAGCTTTGAAGTTTGGCACTTTTGGGAGCACGGAGCCACTGGGACTCAGCTAACAACGGTCCCGCGGTGCTCGCTTTAATGAACCCAGTAGAAAGTGTAATCCGTCCTGTATCTGTTAGGATGCTTCTAGCTGGACCGAAGAGAAACCTACAGAGAAGCGGCTTACACATAAGGCACGCGTGTCAGGCGGTGTGACACGAGTCTGGAGGCTGTGTGACACGAGTCTGGAGGCCTCCCGTGTCATGGGAGCTTGCAGGGTCGGCCGGCTCAGCAGCTCAGTGGAGCCACCGGGACCCGGTTCCTGGCACCGCCCTGCCCACCTCCCCCTGCACACTGGCTTCTGGTCTCAGGCTTCTTTCCTCACGGTCTCAAGATGTTTGGCTCTGCTCTGGGTGGCACGTCGAGACACATGAAAGCTGACGAGAAGAAGAGAGAGACTTGCTTTCCCTATGCCTTTCTCAAGGAGTGCGAGTCCTTCCCGGGGCCCTCCCGAAATCGACCTCACGTGTCTGCCTCGTCCGTGTCAGGAGCTGGGAGAGGCAATGGGGCTTTGCTAGCACAGACCTGCCGGCATCTGCATCTGGTGTCTGGAAAGGGGCACAGGCCCTTCTGAATTGTGTGCCTGGCACCCGAGATAGGCTTGTTGTCTTAGCAAGGAACGAGGCGAGGACTGGGTAGGAGGTGGGCAGCTCTAGGGTCTGCGCACGAATCTCCCGTCTTCGTGATGGGACTGCCCGTCCTCCGACCTTCGCCTGACTCTGGACGCTGTCCCCTCAGAGCCCCTCCAGAGTCTGGAGCCATCAGTTACTCGTTCCCCCTCTTCTGGGTAGGCTGACCCTCTCCCTTCACTCGCGTCCTCCTGGCTGGATGGTGCACAGGCCGGAACCAGTGGTTATAACCAGAACCATCCCTCCTTTGGCAAGTCCGTCTTTCCCAGTCCTTGGAGGGAGGGTCTCTCCTCTCCCCACTCTTGTCCATCCCGTCCCTCTCCTCGGCCCCTCCTGGCTTCTGTCTACAATGATGTGGAACAGCTGTCGACCTCATGCCCCCAACCCCCCCACTTCTCCGTTCTCACTGCACCTGGCCTTTCCCCTGCAGCCGCTGTGTTCGGCTGCTCCTTTTTCCTTCAAGACCCACCGGCTCCGCATTTTCCTTCCTTCCATCTGTCTGGCCACTCAACTCTATTCTTTTTTTCTGAAGAGTTTATTTAATTTTTTAAAAAATATTTTCATTTATTTATTTGAGAGAGAGTGAGAGCTAGGGAGAGAGAGAGAGTGAGCGAGAGCACACTCCCCGCTGAGCAGGGAGCCCAATGCAGGGCTCAACGCCAGGACCCTGAGATCAGAACCTGAGCCGAAGGCATACACTTCACCCACTGAGCCACCCAGGTGCCTGTAGAGAGTTTATTTTTTAAGTCATCTCTCCACCTAACATGGGGCTCAAACTCACAGCCTGGAGATCAAGAATCACGTGCTGTCCCAAGTGAGCCAGCCGGGGGCCCGTTCTCATTCTTCTCGGCAGACCTCCAGTCCTCCGCTTGGCACGGAATGCTGGAGGTCTACCCGGGTCAGGTCAGGCTAGTGATTGCTCTACATCTTCTCCCCAGACAGAACTCTCCATCACTATGGCGGCAGTCTCTCTGCAGGTCTCTTTTCTGGGGTCCAGACGTACACACAGACACACAGGTAGACACACACATGCATCTATACACACACATGCATCCAGACACACACACATCCAGAGGACACACCCCAGGAGCTGACACCCCCTGCTAGATGTTCTGAGACACTAATTCAGCACAGCAGGAATGCGCGACTGTCCTTCCATACCGTCCGCACACGCTGCGCTCTCCCTGTCTCAGTGGCGTGTGACACGCGTCCATCCAGTCAGACAAAAAACAAACTCAGAGACGTTCCCGGGACTGACTGCTTCAGCCCTTCTGCACCCAGACCGCCTCAAAACCTGCAAGTTTTACCTCCTCTGAATGTGTCTGGAAGCGCCCATCCTCTCTGTCTCAGCACCATCCCTCCGGCCGTGGCTACCACATCCCTGGCTAGATTACCGTGACCGCCCGCAGGCTGACAACCCCCTATACCCCTCAGTCTCAGCGCGTCCTCCCGCAGGAAGACCACCACATGCCCGCCCCTTTGTCTGCAATATTTTCTTTAACCTCTTACATATTAAGGATTTCATCCCTCATATTTCAAGTTGTAGGCAGAGCAGAGGAAATGTTCCATGGTCTCCTGTGTTGTTAAGGCCCATGGCAGCCCATTTAGCTCCCTGAGTCCCTCTTACAAAGCATATCACAGTTGAGGTTTTATACTTAATTGTGTGACTTAATTAACATTTGTCTCCCGTGTGGCTGAGCTTCTCAGGGGCCACGCTGGTTTGCATTCTCTGTCACCAACCTGGGCCAGGACCGCGGGGCCCCTCATTCTGTGTATGTTGCTGAATAAATGAACGAAGCAAGCGTTGGCATCGGCGACCCTGTGAGAGAATGTGCTTGTCATGTTTGTTTCTTCCTGCGGTTGGGGCAGTCCCTACGTCACGGTTACTTTTCTGTGTGGACCGCAGGACGGCAGTGCTCATGCAGGCTCTGAGTTTTCGGAACGTTTGGACAGCCGAGGTCCGGGCTAGGGGGACCATGTGGACCACACGTCTACCTAGCCCCAGACTCAGTCTTGCACCTTCCAGGGTCAGCTGGCAGGAGCTGTGGGTCCTTAGGTCTCCTCATGGGCACCCGCCATGGCCGTTTGCTGGGAGACTCCTCCTCCGCCCACTTGAACTCAGGTGCGGCTTCTCAGCCTTCACTGATGACGCATGAGCGGCTGTCATGGGCCGCACGTCTGGGCAGAGGCGTTGACAGCCACACTGTCCCTCTGACTCTGAAGCCGTGGAAACGCAAGGAGTTGACATCTATCGGTCTGGCGTCCTGGGTGACGGATGAGCAGGGGACCCCCTCGCCAGCCCGCAGTGGACACGGGGCGCATCTACCCTGACGGGCACAGAAATACAGTGATGTCGCTCTGAGGGACCCTTTCTTTCTTAGCCACAGGACCACGTGGCTTCCCCCTCGTGGAGAGTACCCAGGGCAGCAGTGAAACACAGCCCACTGCGTTTTGCTGACAAGTCACAAAACCTGGGACGTGATGCCCCTGGGCGCGAGGCGGCCTGCCGTGTGAGGAGCGGGACCGCCCGGGCTGTGGCGGGCCGGGCTTGAACGCCGGGGAGGAGGGCTCTGACTGGGGCCCCAGCGGCACGCGGAGGACCACAGGCTTCTGCTACCCACTGACAAGCGGCATCTGGAGGGATAATCCGCTCCTGTTTACACGGAAGGGGCTGCTAGTGTTTTTGCTGAACGATGTCCCCGACAATTTCATTCAATAGGTTAGCATTTCGTAAGTGGGGCGAAGGTAAAAATGCAGGTCAGGGAGGGTGGAAAAACCAGCCACACTTTCAGCTCCGTCCACAGAAGCAGTCCCCAGAGCTCTGCTCTCCATCCCCTTTGCTGCTTTCCCGGGGTTTGACATCGCTCGACTGCCACTAAAGCCGCCGTGTGTTTTCTCTCCAGACACCCGCGGAGGTAGTCAAGGAAGATGAAGAGATACCTCATCACTGCCCTGATTTTGAAAGCCACAAGGTGAGCTCAGTCCACTTTTATTTTGTATCTGGTGCTGTGGGTGGAAGGCTCCTCCTTATCCTTTTAGCATGTTGGGTGGAGCTCTCGTTTGATGAAGAAGGATTCAGAGAGCCCAGTGCTTCCCAGAACACGGATCAGCACGGAGGGAGAAACCTAGCGTGCTTCCCAGACAGGCTGTCCCTTAGATCCGGTCTCTCGGGTGCCCGAAATCACGTGAGTAGTTTTAATGGCTCCTCTGCTGGTCCTAATTACCTCTTACTATGCTTCCAGTCACAGACTGAAAAACTGTTTTCCCAGCAACTTTCAAGGTGTATTTTTAGCGGGAGCCTCGGGAGGGGAATAGCGGCAGGTGTGTAGGTGTGTAGACGTCTGCCAACACCACAGACGTTCTGCTTTGGGACCGCTGGTGTTGTGTAATAGCTGGTGTTGTCGGGGAAGCAGGGACGCGGGGCGTGCTCCACGGATGGCAGCACGAGCCAGCCCCGCGGACCCGGGCTGCGTGGTGTCTGCGTCTGCTCCGTCCTCCCCCAGACGCTGAGCTGTGCCTTCCAAGCAGGAAGCACCTTCCTGGGGTGCATAACCTCTGACATGAGGTGACGAGTCTATCTGAAGTATGTGTACTGGGAAAACATAATTTTTTTATTTGCAGAATATTTGGCAATTCAAGCTAATTAACATATCCACCACAGATAGTTATAATTTCCTTTTTTGGGGGGGGGACAGATGTGCACGAGCAGGGGGACGGGCAGAGGGAGAGGGAGAACCAGGCTCCCCGCTGACCAGGACCCTGAGATCATGACCTGAGCTGAAATCAGGAATCAGATGCTCACCAGACGGAACCGTCCAGGCACCCCTCTTGTTTTAAACTGTTTGGCCCCAGGCAGGAGGTTGTGTGATAAGTGTGGGGTATCAAGTGTGAGTCTCTTCTAATGCTGAAGCCTCCCGAACTATAAGGAAACTTGGGGATGCAGCAGCCTTGTGAGCCATTCCTTTTCCACTCGTAGACGTGCTCCCCATTTAGAAACAGAGGGAAGCGAGCCCGGAGTGTGGGTGGAAGGGGTTGGGGCTACACCGAGCTGTTGTCTGCTTCTTGCCCACCTTGGGAAGGGTGCTTGGGGGGAAGGAAGTTGGTTCGGGTTTCTCACCACCGGTGCGGGTTATGACGGAAGCCAGACGGTCGCAGGGAATGCACTTCAAACAATTCTCTCTCCCTTCCTCCTGTTCTTTTGATTTGGAAGTGGTTTTCCGTGGATGCACACGTGGCTGGGAGGACCTGGAGATGAGGAGAATATTTCGTCGCCGTGGTGTCGCCGTGGTGTCGGAGGGAGAGCGTTTCTGAGCGTCCATCCTGGAGCATGGGGAACAGTGACACCAGAGCTCCTGCCTGCACGGGGGAGGAGCGGAGAGGGACACTCGTGTGCTCAGGCATGGAGTAACCTATGGCCGTACTTCTGCAGGAAGAGGGCACAGGCGTCGTGATGACAGTGACTTTGTGAGGCAGCCAGAGTCCCTGGTGTGGTCTGGCCACTGAAGTCTGTCATGGTGCCTTACTGACTCGCTGTGTGGATCTGCTGGGGCCTCTGGGAGTTTCCGTGTGTATTAGTGACTTGGCATCTAATGTTAGAGTGAATCAAAGTGTCTTTCTTAATGCATTATCAGAATAATCACAACCCCAAGTGCCTGGTTTTTAACCGTCTGGTTTTGCCACCTCAGCTTCTGGGGAAAGATGGTGACACGGAGCAGCGGAGGCCCCATTCTCTCTTGTCCAGACATTGATGACGTGCGGTGGGCCGGGAGTTCTGGGGAGAGCAGCCTCCCTGTTTGCTGAGCGTTTGCTCTGCTGGGCGCTGCGCTCGTCCCTGCTGCTGGGGCCTGCCTCGCCTCACACGCACACTTCAGCAGGCGTCAGCACCCAGCTTTGTAGACCCAGAAGCAAGGAGATGGGCGAGAACGTGCGTCACGTGCCCCCACCCTGTAGTTAGGAAGTGGGGGAGCTTGGATTTGAATTCGGTTGTGAATGATCGAGGCTGTGTTTCCTCCTGTGTAGTGAACCATATGCTAGTTGTGCCTAATTTCTCAGCAGATCTGTTTCCCGTGCCGGGCTCCATGGTCTGTTCCCAGCGATGGCAGGTGTCGCGGCAGGTGTCGCACTACTCACGGCCAGAAGAGCCTCCCTGCTCTGACGTCCCCACGGCGCCATCTTTGCTTCCCCCGTGATCCTAACAGGACTTCCCTGTGTCTTTTCCTTATTGGCATGAAACGCCTCATGGGGTTGAAGGGTTTTGGCCCTGAAATCTAGCCCATGTTTTTGAGGGATCGGAAGGAGAGTAAGCGTGTTATGTGCACTGTAACAGCTCATAGTAATAGCAAAGAAACGACATCTAGTGAACGTTTCCTGGCCGAGAGGCCAGTTGTCCCTCCTGCGCCCGCTGTGGGTTCCTTGGGTGGGGGTGAGCGTGAGGCTTGATGTCACGTGTCCTTCACTGTGTCCGGACCGTGCCTTGACGCAGTAGGGGTCTCGTGACCATTTGTGGATTTGCTCTGAGCTCCTGTGGCTACGGTGCTTAAACTTAAGTCTGTCATCCTGGGGTAAAATGAAAGTGACCTTGCAAAGTTGTAAGACAGCGTATCATTGTGCACATTATTTTTAAAATATAGATTTCTGTTGTTTGATCATAAGAGTTTCTGTTATCTAAATTTTTTTGTAGTAAACTATGTGTATGTAAAAAACATAGCACTTGCCATTTTGACCATTTTTAAGAGTACCATTCAGTGGTATGAAGGCCCTCTGCAGTGGCGTGCGGCTGTCAGCACCGTCTGTGTGCAAACACCGTATCGTCCTGAGCAGAATCTCGGGGTGCATTGACATGGGGTCCTCACTGCTACCTCCCCCAGCCCCTCTCTGCGTCCATGAGGAAGGTCTGGGGCGGGAGGAGCTCTGTGTCGGTGTCAGGGTCAGACGCGGCCCTCTTCCGGCCCAGAGAGTGTGGACAAGGGTTTGTTTGGTCATGATGCACGTTTCTGGCCCAGACGGGGATGACATCAGGAGCGGAAGCAGAACTAGAGCCAGGCTTTCCTCGGACACCTCTTCGTCCTCAGAACGCCTTACATACGTCATTTCTGCAGATGATCCCTGACACGTCGGTAATACTGTCACCTTAAAGAGCGACACCAACATTTAACGCATCTGAAGGGCCCAGACAAGTGAACTAATCAAGACGGAGTGTGTACTTTCTAGCCAGGTGCTCACGGCACACTGTTGTCGTTGAACTGGAGGCTTGAGAACCGTCCGAGGGGAAGAGCCCACCAACACACACATTAGTCACACGAAGCAAAAACAAGGGAGGCATCTTTGGCGGCTGATGCGCAGTCGATTCTCTGGTGTCGTGGGTGCGGGGAAGAGGGAAGTGGGACCTGCACGCGGGTCTGAAGGCGGGGGCGGGGCCCTCAGGTGAACATCCCTGCGGAGCCGAGAATATGGTGTGTCCTGTTCTGCAGCAGGTACTTACTGAGAAGGGCGTGAGAACGACTCGGGAGAGGAGAGGTGTAGCCTGATGAACCAGGTGGGGAAAGGAGAGGAGCGAGGCAGGTCGGAGCCAGAGAGGAAGCCCTGCAGGGTCCGCACGACAACCAGGAAAGTGAGGGGGAGGACAGGTGTGTTTCACACGGTCCTTCTTGCAGATAGTTGATTACTGTATTTTTTTAATAATAGGAAAAAGAAGATGAAAGTCCTTGTGAAGATAGTGACAGGAAGGTTTGTATCAACAAATTCTGTAATTCTTGTGTTTTGTGTTCTGAAGACAGACCCAACAGGAGAATCAGTGGATTCCAAAATCTTGCCAGGCGCTTTTTCAGGAATATGACCTCGACTTTGCCGTCATGCACCGTAGCTCTGCTCCCACAGAGAGGAAGCAAACTCAGAGGAAAGGAAACACAGTTAAGACATTTCAGATAGGTGGGCAGATCCACCTGAAGGGCAGATAGGAAGAAAGCAGGGGGGCCAAGCCTCCCCTCGAGTCGTGTGTTAGGGAGCACCCTCCAGAAGCCAGCCACAAGCAGGCACCTGCAGATGCTCACTTGGGCTTCTGGGAAGCCCTAAAACTTGCACCTTTGGGCCCTGACCCTTGGGCTGAGGATGGATGTGTCAACGCGTGGGGCCACAGGAGGAACACAGGCTCCCCAGAGCCGTGACACTAGTAGCCCCCCAGGAAGGTATGGCTCTGTCTGGATGGTTGGCCCCAGGTGGCAGGCAGGGACACGTTCATCTCCACGGTCCTGTCCTCCTGGCAGTATCTCTGTCCCTTGCAGAATCAAAGTCTCACTATTGGGGCACCTGGGGAGAGGTGGCTCAGTCCATTAAACTTCCGACTCTTGATCTCAGCTCAGGTCTTGATCTCAGGTTGTGAGTTCAAACCACATGCTGGGCTCCGTGCTGGGAGCAGAGCCTACTTAAAAAAAAAAAAAAGGTCTCACTGTTATTTGTTGGATGATTAAGTGACCGTGATGATTTTTTCAGAGTATGCAAGACTTTATTTACTTACTCCTTAGTTCATGTAGACTCCTCGTCACTCCATGGAAAACTTGGGCCAGAAATGCTAGTATTTGGGAAGGTCACCTAATCAAAACCAGCATGGAAAACCAGCCGGGATTTGACATGAGATCAACCTGCAGTAAATGCTCCGTCCACCACTTCCCCCACGTGACCCTCAGGACAATGCTGTAGAGAATCAGAGTTCAGTTTCTTCCTGTGAAGTTTAATGGTTTATTTATAGCAAAATCAACTTTCAGGATAGAGATAACATCTATGAAATGTGCTCGATGTTATGATTTTTACTTATGCTCTCCGAGATAACTGAATTGTAAAAGAATCCTCACAGCACCTGGGGTGGGGTGCACACATGAGCTACAGTACCATCTACAAATACACATGTCACGTGCAGATGTGTGCTAGGCCACGTGGAAGCAGACGCGCCTGTCTCTGGCAGATGTGCACACAGCCATGTAGAAGCAGACGCACCTGTCTCTGGCAGATGTGCACGAAGTCAGGCAGAAACGATGCACCTGCGGCATGCAGATGGGCACGTGGCCACATGTAAGCACTGTATTCCTGTCCTAGTTCTCCTGTAAACTTGCGAAGTGCCCCTCAGTAAGTTTACTTCTCTGCACTTCATTAACCCAGTCAACAATTTTTTACTTATTTATAGGTTTATGTACCTCAAAAAAACTGATCGAGAAAATGGGTTTGCAAGTTCTTGAAAAGTGCAACATATCTGTGTTTAAAACAGCATTTGCAGTATTTTAAAAAAAGGTTTTATTTATTTATTTGACAGAAAGACAGAGATCACAAGTAGGCAGAGAGGCAGGCAGAGAGAGGGGGGGAAACAGGCTCCCCGCTGAGCAGAGAGCCCGATGTGGGGCTCGATCCCAGGACCCCGGGATCATCACCTGAGCCGAAGGCAGAGGCTTAACCCACTGAGCCATCCAGGCGCCCCTGTTCGCAGTATTTTAATGAAAGTGTTTTTCAGTTGGAAATCAGACACTTGGCCGTTCCCACTTGTATCTCTCTCATTAAAATCAGTGTCATCAATTTTCTCATCTTTAATTCCATCCCCTGGAACACTCAGCAGCCATCTCGTCTGCACTTTGCTGGGAAAGCAACCATGGGTGTTCGGGGAGATGTCCCCCTGAGCTCAGACAACATTCTCTCAGACTTTAGTGTCAAGTAACTCTTTGAAAAATATATCGTTTGTTTGGCGTATGTGTTCCTTGCTCTCAGTCTGACCGTGCTGGTAAAGAGGATGGAGTGAAGAGGGCAAACTCCAGACACAAGTAAGCTGTGTCTGGGGTGCAGTTTCCTGCCCTGAGCCTCAGGTTCCTTATGTGCAAAATTGGGATGACTTCCAACCTCTGAAGTCCACGTAAAGATTAGAAATAGCCATGAAGTGTCTTCTCCCGTGGGTAAGGAGTAAGTTATAGGGGTAGTTATTCTCCCCTCTAACTGTGATTCCTACCGAGGTTAAAGCCTTTAGAAGGAGGCATTCTGTTTTATTTATATTTTGACTTTTCTTTCTTCTTTTAAAAATATTTTTTTTTGAGAGAGAGAGATTGAGAGAGAGAGAGAGAGAGAGAAGGGGGAAGAAAAGAGGAAGAGCAAGAATCTCAAGCAGACTTTACAACTAGTGTGAAGCCCGACCCAGGGCTGATCCTACAACTCTGAGATTATGACCTGAGCTGATATCAAGAGCCAGACATTTAACTGATTGAGCCACTGGGTGCCCCTATATTTTCATTTTTCTTACCACCAGGGACACACAGTGCCTTACTCACTGTTGGCATCAATTATTTTGAAAAATTGAATTTTCTTCTATGATATCCCATGTTTAAAAATCAAGGCTACTTTATCAAATTATAAAAATCATGTTTGTTATAGAATTATTAATACAGATTAAAAACAGTAAAAACATTGAATTCTTCTACTTAGAATCTATTTCCACTTTTGTGTGTATTCTTAAGGGCTATTTTCCATTAACTTTTTTACATCGTGTCTTAAAGGGATCATGACTTTGCTGATAATAAAAAAATTATTTTGATTAATACTACAAATCAATATTTGGGGTATTTTCAGTATTTTAGGGTTTTTCCTAGTCAGAATGTTGATTTTACTTATTAGAAATAGATTTGAACATTTTTGATAAGAGATGTCACTCACATTAAGAAAACCCCAAACAACCAACAAGACAACATATGAATTGTGCTTATGTGGGCTTCCCCTAGAGCGATGTTACAGGTTGCCTTTTGAGTATTGTCTGTTTTGAACCTTGGATCTCATGCCAGGATCAAAAAAGACAATTTCATTTCTCTTTTACTGGAATAAATGTTCCATTTGATTTCTCATTTGGTATCTTTTATTACTGGGGTGAAAACTTGAGAGGCTTAAGAAAACAGAAGGAATAATTTACCCGGCGATACATTTAAAAATGCAGAATAAAATAAACCATGAAACCAGATGTTGAATTATTCCATCCTGCATTAGACTGATAGTAAGTCTCTGAAAGTCACCAAAGAACATTGGGAATGCTGTAGGGGGCATTTCGGTGGCTTTGTTTAGGGTATTTGTTTCGGTAGAGCATTTTAGGGTATCACACGGACATACGGGTCCCCTATATTTAGAGGCATTGAGACAGGTTGCTATAGTGACAAGTTCCAGGTGCAGAATGTGTAAGATGATGAAATGATGACTGTAACATTTTTTTCCTCAAGAGCTTCAAATATCAAGCATAAAGTGATTAATAATAAGTGTGTAATAACAAGTAAGATTTTGAGCATATGTACTCATCGATATATAAAATGGTCTCTCATGTTTTTGAGGGGCCCTCTGTGTGTTTCATGACCATGTGATGTGTGAAGAGATTGAACCAGGGTCCCTCCGAATGGGTGGTCATGGCCACCGTGACCAACACCTCAGAACTGTTGAGCTTTCTGTGTTCAGTGCCATCAGTGAGACAGAAAAATAGCAGATTGTGTCTGCCTTTGAGTCATTTATATTGTAGCCCATTGGAAAACAAGAAAAAATTTTATCATACAACATAGGACTAGAACTTATGCCTGTTAGTTACTAAACTTATTCCTTGAGATACATGTAAACTTTTATGTGTATATATGTCACCTGCTCTAATAACATCTTGATGTCTGTAAAAGGAAACATTTTGAATGTTAGGTGAACTTTGGGAATCTGCTCTCCAGACTCCGACGTGGTGAAGCATCGAGAACCATTCTGTATGCAGGTTATTTGCTCTCGCTAGGATTAGAACACGTGGCTAAGTGGCCCAGCTCCTGTCTTCTGCACAACGAGGTGCTGACGTGTTTTGGCAAGTTCATTGTTTGATCTTCCTTCCCCAGGGAAGCGATGGTGATAGTGTGGGCAGTGAGAAGAAGCGGGGCCCAGGTGTGGGGAAGCAGCTGCAGATGGTCAGCAGATGGTCAGAGGATGCCTGTCTGTACGGGTGTGAGCTCTTCTGTGGGGAGCTGGTGCTGTGTCCCCCTGCAGCAGAGGGCTGGCCCCGGCTTCTTCTGAACGAGTGCTGTACTGTGTGGCACTGAATCTCACACTTAACCTCTGAGCTTACGTTTCTGGCCTGGTTTCGTCTCTCCCCAAGGCCAAACTTCATCTGGTTCAGCAGTCAGCTCTTCCGAGATGTGTCTGAACCGCCATCTGGCCATAGTGTTCTCTACTTTTAGCGACTGTGCTGGCTATTGTAGTACGTCATTTCCTCAACTGTCCCCAGTTATTTTGTGTGTGCTTTCAGGTTTTCAGTAACTCCCTGTTCCATGCCTTCTGTTCATTTTTCCCTAATGAAGAGTCAGCCCCTTGGGTAGGGGTGTACATCCTGCTCAGAGCCTCCCTTCCTTACCCACCAAGGAGCACTGCTTGTTCAAAAAATTCCTCACCAAACAGTCCTGGGAATTTTAGGACGAGAATTTGGCAGGAGAGAGAGGTTTGGCCTTCTTCTAGCTTCCAGTCTTCAGTGTTTATGTTGTTGAAAAGTTGGAAATTTCAAATCACAATATGAATTTGGGTGAAGTCATAAGAAAATTAAAAACAAAATAGAATGAAGCAGTGGGTAATTTTGGTCCCATAATTATAGAACAGGAGTTAGGTATCATTGATACATGTGAGCTTATTTTCTTAAAAAGGAGAGTCATGTTCTATTTTGTTTTCTGGTTTTCTTGTCATTTTGACTCCACCCCAAATGCTACTGTGCTTAGACATTCATTGAGAATCAAGTCTCACAGGACAGGAGGTTTGGAAAGAAATGAGCAACTTCCCTTTGCAAGCTCCCCCACTCTTTGTGGTCACTGAGGCTGGAAACAGTGGTCCTCATGCCCGACAAGATCAGATAAGAAAAGTGAGTACTCGATACATCACTAGCTATAAAACGAGTGACAAAACAGTGAGACCTTTTAAAAAATAATCAAATGGTTTATATCACCTGACATAAATCACAGTTAAATGATTTAACATATTTAATACATGCTAAGCTCAGAGCATGAGGCATCTTCCTTTGCGTGTAGCTACCGCTGGACACACTGCGTAAGCATCTTGTTTCAGTAAATGGGTTTGTGAACCTGGAACCATGATTCGCTCCCGTATGCTCGATCAGTCCGTCAGGAGAGGGTTTTCATTTAATTAACATTGTCAGAGATGCCAATGAAACCAGGGAGTTTTTGATCTAGCATTGTCTCTGACTCAGGGTTTTTTGTGACAAAATGAAAACGGCATTGATTCTTTCATTGATTTTTGGAATTCATTGCCTGCCCAGTATCTTTACCATTTTTTTCTTCTTTATTATCTTGATACCATTCTGTCACTACTGCTAAGTGTTTTATTGCTTCCTTGAGAGATGAGGTTCATATCGATCAACACTGAAGTCGCAAAAGTTAAGTGTAAGTCATCAATAATGCTAAGTGGGGTATGGTGAATTAACTATTAAGTAATGAAATTTTTAGAGAATTACATGGTTCTAGAAAAATAAGGCTGGGCTTCCTCTATGCATAGGAGATGCATTTGGATTTAAACAAAAAGAGAAATTTGCACTTTAAAACAGTGGAGATGATTTATCTTCAACTATATATATATTTTCACTAATAAAACATAGTGTATGGAATATGTGTTTTATAATAGGATGAACCATGAGGGGGGCTCCATTGAAACACTTCTGTTGAATTCATGCAATTTTAGAAATCCTGGGTATGGACCTGGAGGGCGAGGTGTAAGGTTTCGTTCCATCTGGAGAAGCAGCACGTGAGCGAGAATCAGTGTCGTAGGAAGAATAAGCCTGGGCTGTAGCTAACAGTGCCGTATCGTTTACTCGAGAGCAGATCTTACCTGTTCTTACCATATGTGCAAAGCCGGTGTCTGTGTGAGATGGACGTGCTCATGACCTTGTCTGCAGTCCCCGCTGCACAGGGACACTCCTTAAACACCACGATGTCTTGCCACCTGAATACATGGTTCTTACTTGTCCATCGTACCTCAGGGCAGCTAGGAAGAGACCAGCAGGTGCAGGCCAGTTTTTTCTATTGCCTTCTGTCTGGGAAGCATCCATCGCTCCCGCTCCCTGCGGGGCCTGCCCGTCCCTGACCCTCTCCCAGCTGTGTGAGCAGCAGGCAGACTTCCTTCCAGCAGCTGCCTCCAGGGCAGGACTGCCCCTGGCTCCCTCTGGCTCCCAGCTGGTCCCGGTGTGTCTCGGGTGTGTCTGCTACCCTTGTCTACTCTTGTCACTGTGCAGGGAGGAAGGGAGGATGGAGATGCCCGGCTTGTCCTCAGCCCACGCTGGGCTGCTCACGTAGTCATCTGTTTGCTCATTCAGCAGCTGTCTACATTGCTCTCTGTTACAGAAAATCGATTATTAGCAGACGGACAAAACTCTTCTTTGGACCCATCTGCTAGGACATAGACAAGAACAGAACCAGGATTTTGCTGCGAGCAAACTCTTAATTAAAGGCATCAGCAGAGGAACCTCCTGTGGGCTGAGAGCAAAGAGTTGTATAGAACTTACAATGCATGAGCAGCAGAAACAGGACCCAAGAGAGGGTCTTTCTGCATTCCGTGAGGTGGTCCCCTCCGCGGTGAGCCTAGCTCCAGAATAGGGGCCACAAGACCCGTTTCTGTTCTCCGTGGGTGGTCCTCTTCTCACACTGCTGCTGACTTCAGGCGGGCATTGCTTTTGTTTTTGTTTGTTTTATTTTTGTTTTTTAGATTTATTTACTTATTTTAGAGAGAGAGAGTCGGGGGGGGGGGAAGGGCAGGGGGAGGGGGAGAGAAACAGACTCCCCACTGAGTGTGGAACCTGATGTGGGGCTCAGTCCCACAAGACATGACGTCAGCCGAAACGGAGTCAGACGCTCACCAGACGGCACCACCCAGACATTAAAAGATCACCGCATAGCACACGAACATTGCAGTCACAAGAGGAAAGCATTTTATTCAGGTTTACTTGGTTTTCCATGTGAGTTATAGAGATGCTGTCTATAACTTTTAAAATGTATGAATTATTCTTAATTATGAAAATATACGTGGTCAATTTAGAACGTTTTGTATGTTGCCAAGCAGTCTGGAGTTTAGGTTTGTGTAGCACAGGGCCATAAATATAATTTTTGGACACAGAAAGTAGCGTTTTAAATTCTCATTTCTGGGAGAGTTTAATGAGAGACCTTTACTGGCTGTCTACACCACACTCCGGGAAGTCACTTTTAGGTGAATTTATTACTTAGTTACCCCAGCTAATAGCCATATTTTGGAGGAAAAATATCTTCTCTGAGTAGGTTAGAGAAAAGAAAATCAAAAAGAGGAAGAGGAAGGGAGCGGGAAGGTTCGTGGGCCCTTTGAACGGACAACGAGATTGTTCAGCTGCCTTTACTCTTGATTCCTTGTTCTCTTCTATGAACCTGGACGCTTTTCCCCGGAGAAAGCAGAGAAGAGAAGTAGTCGGTACCTGTAACCTGTAGCCGTCCGTGAAGCCACGTGGTATCGAGCCAAGTTAAAGCATGTTTTTCCTTCATCTTCGGGGTTTGTCTACATTGAGACTGAAGGAGGAGGACCCGTGGCAGAGCAAAAACTTTCTATAAATGAAATTCATACTTTTGCTTGGAAATAGAATGAGTATAGGGAAAATAGTTCTTTTTTTTTTTTTGAACTTGTGATAAGTCAAAAAACAAGTTTATACCTCACATTGAAATGTCTTAAATAATGCATTTCACAAATTGGTAAAGATCACGGGCGCAGAGTGCATGTGAATTTCAGCAAACTGTACTGCTATTTGGGGTGGAGTGAAAGGCTCCTCCACACCCCTCGGTTCCATCCTCAGAATCAGAAGCCTGTGCGACTGTCAACCTACCTCGTCACTGTTGTCCAAACGTGTGTCACGAGGCCTGAACACTTGCTACTGGCTGACAGGCCTCATCGGGATACTGGGTCTGTGGGATCTTAAAAGTGTGAACTGGGATGTCTGGGTGGCTCAGTTGGTCGATCTCCTGGCTCTTGATTATCGGCTCAGGTCATGATCTCAGCGTTGTGGGACTGAGCCCCATGTGGGGCTCTGTGCTCAGTGGGGGTCTGCTTGAGGTTCTCTCTCCCTCTGCTCTTCCCCGTGCTCGTGTGTGCACGTGTGCTCGCTCTCTCTCTCTCAAATTAATAAATCTTAAAAAAAAGTCTGAGCCAGAAGCACCCCTAGAAATGACTCTTCTCCAGCCCTTTCATGTTACTGAGGAGCAAATGGAAACATCGTCTCCTTCTCTCAATACTGTGATTTTAGGAGCTTTCCCTATTGCAATAGAACCGTCTGAAGCCAATTCCAGATACCAGTGAGGGCAGCCTCTGCGTCAGAGCCTGTTGAGTTGTACAAGTCTCCATGCAGTGTACAGAGACAGGAAGGTGTGGACCTTGGCATCGGAGCACGAGGGGCTGCTGTCCTGGGTCCTGCGGAAAGGCTGCAGCCCGTGGGGACGAAGTGTGCTTTGGCTCCTTGCAGGTTTGTTTGCTTTTCCTCAAGCCCTCGAATGCTTGGAGGGCTCAGCGGCATCTTTTGGAGACAATGATCTTGTCCAGATCTCCATCTATCCGTTCTAGGACCGAGTCTTCTCTTTTCCAGCCCGTGTGTTTCTAAAAGTAAATGAAGGTGGCCCTTCCACAGCTCCTGGTAATTTTCTGGAACTCTGGGATGAGAGTCAGATATGGCGCCTCTGGGTGCCAGTGAGGCAGAGGAGACCGTTTCAGCCTGGAGAGACTCCTAGGACGGCCTCTTGCTCAGCATCCCTTTTAGTCAGACTGCGGCTTTAAGCCCCAGAGGAAGAGACATCCCCTTGCTTCCTAAATGAGCCCAGTCTCCATCCTTCTCCAAAATTTCTTCTTTCTGCCACTCGTGAGGGTTGCTGTGCCTACAATTTCTGTCTGCCTTGTCAATGTTGTTAATCTTTCCCCTGCTCATGGGCGTTTGTCCTGCTCCCTGGTAAGCAGAGGTGCCTGCTTTGAGACGTTGTCCTGGTCATCCAGCAGGTGGCTACAACGGTGGCGTCTAGCATGGCCATTGAGCAGGTGCACC